CACCGGGAATACAGGCATGACAGACGTATATAGCAGCTATATCGCTCTAGTATAGATATAACATCGACTGTGTTACGATGGGACCTCCATTCCTCACGTCCAACTGTCGTCTGAATCCTCCTCCCATCGCTCATCCGAATCGTCGTCGCCAGTTGACTTCCGAAGCGCCCATAGTTGTTGCAACGCGTCATTCAGTGCTGATAGCGCTGATTGCATAGCAATATCGGGATCGTCGTAATGCCCACAGTAATAGTCATACCATTTGAAGTCGAATAGAGTTGGAAATACCTCAGCTAGGAAATACGGTATGCGTGCAACCTCCGACACCTGGGAGTACCCGAGATGGAGGTTGCGAAGGGCCGTTTGCGTAGACCAAAGCTTCTCTGTCCCGTCTGGTGCTCGAGGAATTATCGTCGATTGCGTAGCATCGACCGTCAGATGTAGGGTCTGCAGCGATCTGCACCTTGACGCCAGTGACATCATGGCGGTGAAGGTGACGCTATATATGGCACGTCTCTTCCAGGAGGTGAGCTTCAATTCCCGAATACTCGGCCAGGCATCTGGGACATCATAGAGGAACCCATCATCAAGGTTGAAGTTTCCAACGCCGACAAATTTAACAGACGACAGCCTGTTGAACTTGAGCAAGGGCCGGAATATTTCGGAGGAGAGTGGGATGATGAGCAGAAGATCAGGAATGTTCGATTCGTCGATCACATGGACCTGTTCCAAATATCCAACAGTTTGGCACGAAGTGGACAAGGATTCTATGAACGCGGTCATTTCGGCCGGGCTAGCAGATCCGCGGTACCTGATATCGATGTGTGATAGTCGTGGGGTGGTGACTTGACGAAGGAAGTGCGTGCACTGTGGCAAGGAACCACCAGAGAGATGGAGGGTTTTGAGACTAGGCAATTCAAGGGGTATACCGCCCGCATCGCAGGAGGTTCCGAACAACTTAAGCTTGAGACTTTGAAGACACCGTGCTTGCTGGATATTGGCTATCGTCTGCCTCGTCAAGCACACATCGATTCCGAAGATGGCCAGTCTAATTAACTTTGGCAGCTTTCCAAGACTCGGGACTGTCAAAGCCGTATCACCATCGTCTGCCGATACTGTCAGTTGGCGCAGACCGTGCGTTTCTGCGTGAATAGTAGCAAGCCATTGCTCTGATTTATGCGTTGGGATGCCAATTACATCAAACCGGAGCGCTTGCAATCCAGGCGAAATGAACTGCCGAAGCAGCCAGGATCTCGAGCTACATTCCAGAAGACTGAACACGGCATCGAAATGCAATTCGCAAAGGTTTGGGAAGAGTGTGGCGGGACGGGACCAAGCAAAAAGCCTCTGCAGGACATGACCACTGACATCTGGGTCCGGGATAAACGATTCACCGCGAGGTAGCCTGAGCGTGTCAGTGAAACCATGACTGCCAACAAGCCGGCGCACTCTTGATGCGTTCATTCTGAGGCGCTCCCACTCAGTGGGAGTTGGATCTCTGGAAGAACGCTACAAATCGAAGCACGGTGAGCATTGTCCTGTCAAGACTCGAATATTGTACTTCACTTACAACAATATGGCCCTGCTCGGTCTCCGTAACCTCCCAGGTGTCTTGCGGTAGACACATGATGAGGGGTGCCAGACTTGACTGTTTAGACCAAAGGATATTGAGGGCGGAATCCGCCAGCCTGGAGCATGTCATTGCCACGTTCACCAAGTCCGTCCCAGAGGACTTGACGTGCTGTAACACGGCATAAATGATATCGTCGAATTCAAAAATACGATGCATGATTGAAAGTAGTTGTTAGTGCTCAAGCACAATACCTCTTATATAGCCAATCCCACATAAATCTGCGGATGCACAGGTCTTCCGGTTTTTTGTTTCGGGTGAGTGTGTCCACTTATGGAGGTCATGGCGCCATTGACTCGATCGACAGCTCCCTTGTGAACAATATGAGACATAGGACATTGTTCCGCTGACACTACAGCTGTGTCCCACCACTGTCGCTAAAACAGCATCTCTTGGCTAGATGCAGAGTGCTTACAACACGGTGTTCCCTGCAGAATAACCGGAGCAAAATAAACGCAATGGTCATCCACGTCAAAACGTGCAAGCCTTACCAAGTATGTAAAGTAACTTCAGTATGAGAGCGCCGATAGCAGCCATATGTTGAGCACTTTGCCTCTCAGCGCCAGCGCCTGTTGATTGTCCTCGACTCCTCGGCATTGCCAGCCAAAGAGGTTTATGGACGTCTAAGCAGAGATTCAATGTATTGACAGATGGTCAAAGCTCAGACCATCGAGATGCTCACATGAAGAGAACATGGCTCGTAATAAAACTTCAGTCACAACCAGAGCTGATTAGTAACAAGAGCACAAAAGAGATAAATGAGACGTCCGGAAGGGCCTCAAAAACATAGCTCGTTTGATTTGAGATTGCTTTCTTTATTAACCCGTGGGTGAGGAACGTGGAACGTTGAGTCCACATTTAATACTAATAAATAAAGTAAACATGTCAAGCCAGGTACGCACTCACCGCATTGCGCAAAGAGCTGAACAACTTAAGCTGGGGACTGCCACTCTAAATTTCGTCCACAGACCTGATAATTGTTGCAAAGTAATACAGGTGCGAACCGTAAGATAAAGGCGCTCCTATGAGTGTGGGGTGCAAGACTCGAAGGAGTGTAATACCGGTAACGAGACTGATCCGAGTGAACACGACGATGAACGATGTTAAATTGACAGTGACTACAGTCTACGAGACAAAGTTCCTAGCGGTTACATAATAATATACCGGGGTTGTACTCTCGTGGAAAAACCAACTCCCACCACTCAAGGTAGCGGGAATTATCATCGACTCTCTCATGAAACTGACAGTTCACAGCTACGTTTATGATGAAGGGCCAATGTTGTCGCACTCTGCTGCGACACTGGAACTCGGACGCGACCTAGTTCATGCAGCCTCGTCTAGTCTCAGATGGAGAAAACCGTCTGTCTCCTTTAACAAACGACTGTTCGGTAGGCCGTTTACAAACCAGTGGCCTGCTCTCTTATTAACTGTCAGCAGCACTGAAACACGACCGACTATACCAATTCAGCATCAGCCCACCGCAGGTTGGTATATCGGCGCCTCAAACACATGTTCTTAAGGACTGGGGGGTTCCCCCGACTGACGAAGAAGCATTGGCAATTGAAGCCCTTGAGGAGTTTATACATCTCAAGTGGGAAATCCCCTATGCTCGCATTGCCCGAAAGCGCCCTGCACTGCAGGATTCGTGCTCAGACATCCACGATTCGCAATCGCGACAGACCACGCGCTCTTCGACATATGAAGTGTCTCTAGAACCACCCACAAAGCAACCCAGATATTATACTGCCTCTATTTCAAACTTGATACCCCAGGTCTTGAGAATTTGTTCAGTTTACCTTCACTCCGGCTTACGATTTGCAGCCTCATTATGTCCCAGGTCCGCATATTGGTTTTCGGCCGTTGGACAACGAGCACCTCAGGCCTTACAGAAAAACTCGGCCATCACTAATCGCACCGTTTGATCTTGCCTCGGCTAAGCTTTTCTTGAATAGTATTTACAAGAGGGCAGCATGGCTTATTCCTCTACGTGGCATCCTACCATGGGACGGTGCTACCTGTGCCACCATCCTGGAACCTCCACAGGGAGATGATACTTCTTCGCTCCCCTCTGGACCTGCACCGCTATGCGACGGAATATCAGGAATTACTTGGACTCATCATTCGATCGTGCACTTCTGGCATTTCCTGATATCCATTCAGCAAGCTGAAAATCTTGGGTCCATCTCGATTGTCTTCCATAGCGCACTGTCGGATACCGCATCTACACTTGACAGTGCACTCGGCTTAACGTCAGGAAATGGCAATCGGCCTGTTCAACCTGCACAAGCGAGGAGATCCGCTGATCTTTCCGGTAGCTTTTCGGATAAGGTCCGTCAACTGGAAGCAATGGACTTCATCAAGGTGTATCATGATACCAAGTACTCGTTTTACCTCCGAAATATTTTGGACGCCTACAGGTACATCCCTGAAGAAACCGTATCAGACTCGGAGAGAAGAAACCAAGTAGCGGGATTGATGACGAAGATCAGAGTACTGAAGTTAGCACGACTCGTCATTGTCGACGACCAATCCAGAGCTGTCTTATTGTCCTGATACGCTGTGCTGAAGAGGTCATTGTCACTCCTTGCCATCCAATCCCATGCAAATATGTTGTTTGCCGTATCATAGTCAAGTGATGATGACGCAACCGATTCACATCTACTGACATTCATACTCGGATCCTTACAGTACGTTTTCCGTGTCCAGTGTTGATCACGAGGTGCTGATATTCTTGCTACAGGTCTGTATTGCATACGGTTACGTGCCACTCTGCAGAGGTCTGCCGGACAACAACCTTCAATCGGCATGACATGTTGGGCCAGGGCTATGAAAAATGGTCAAGGGGTTGATCTTCTATGCAACCGAAGTCTCTCACAGTTCTCATCGTTCATCGTGTTATCAAATGACACCTGTCATCAACGTTTTTCTCATGCGGTGTCAGTCCTCCACATCCTGATTTGAGACCCTGTACCCTCGGATCTGTGGCGAATACTCGATGGATCGGGTGAATAGGTCTGCTTGAATCCAAATGTTAATGGCTTCTTGCCGTTACTTTTGGACCCCAAACATCATTATCAGCTGGCTTTTTTTTACTCTGTCTCACTCACATACATCGTCCCATCAATACCACGATGGATGGTACAAAGGACGTGGATATTTGATGGGATTGAGGGGTAAAAAAATACGCATCGGTCAACACCATCCTGTAGTCTACGTTCTATGGCGTTATACATAACTGCTCCTCCTTGCTTGTTATGTAACTCAGAACACCTGGATCTTACGATCAACGGACAGGGTCTTGACCCTGCTGATACATTTGCTGAAACTGAAATAGTCAACCAAAACCAATTTTGCCATTGGTTTCCTAGTATGATCCCAGTAGTGAGGCAACCAGTCTGCCTGCCCAAATCTTTTTCTCTTTCTCTTTCAACTTCCGAATACAGTTTTATAAGTATCCCAGTAATTTTCCTGCTCCCCGTAAGTGTCCCTCTAGTAATGTCAATCGCATGGAACATCTCCCGCTCTACACATTGCCGCTGGTTGATACCCGTATGCGCTCCTGGAAAGCAATTGAAGCCATGGAGGTTCCTTCGTCGGAGCTGGCCATAAGCTTGGCGTGAAATTTTCTAACGTTAAAGATAAGGCGTGGTGCCAGCACAAACATCTGCACGATCAAGAAAATTTGACGAAGACCATAATACGTCTCGGTTTCCATCAATGAGGCCTACATAAATGATAAACAATACTAGTTGCCAGTGACAGATCGGCGTACCATGAAGCTGAGACAAGAAACAGTAAAAAAACTAGCACGTGCAGAACTTCAGCGAGAAAGGTGACCGCAATGAAATTACGAGCTCACCTTGCAAAGTAAATTAGGTGAGTTTGTATCAACACCGTAAAGCTATCCCCAATGATCCCTCTTCCTGTCGGCATTTGTCGCAGTTCACAGAAGTGCTTTGCCACAATCCAGACTGCAAGACACAGTGCGAGAATCTCCCATGCAGCGGTGAGTGTCCAAATCATTGCTATCAGAAGCGCGACGTCGTCATCCAAAACAATAATGCACTGATAAGTGCCGAAGAGAATGGTTTCCCCTGGAATGTGTCCAATGAGCCTGGTGCATCGAAGTCATTTGTCCATGATTACCCTCTGAAATATGGTTTACTGCCACTATGGCGATCACTACGCAGGCCATGGTGATAGCCACAAATATGACAACAAGAAAGGAGAGCATCTTGTTCGATCGCTGATACATTGCATGCAACCGAGTGATCGTGATGACTTGCACAATGTTTAAGGCACTGAGACATTATAATGCCAAAGTAGCTCACCGCTTACCGCGGTATTTGTGACCATAATCATCAGAAACTGTGTGAGGAAGAAAATTTTGCCTGAAAACCCTAGTTAGTGTGCGCCTTGAAGGGTAAAATGATCCAACAAAACTCACAGCTATTGGAATTATTGCATTCAATCAATACTCCGGTCAAGAATCTTACTCACCCCTACATAGACGTCCAATAAGTTGGATGGGGATGCAGGTGTTAAAGCAGATTACTTACTGTATTTGTCACCGAGATTGATGGAATATTTTCTATATGCCACCAGTCAGAAGAAACAAGGACAGTGCATGCGGGGAGACATACGCAGCAGGTTTATGCTAATTGTGAGAAGATATGGCTCGTCAGCCCAACACCAACTCGTTGAATTTCACGTACACGATATATGGTATTTCAATATAGCGCACCTAGAACATTTACATAAGTCAGTTTAACGCGTCAATTGCACTTATAACATAAGCTACAGACAATGAGATATAGAATAGTCATAAGGGACCAGCGTTGCTTCTGCGCCAAATTAATGATTGCGACCTTCTGATATGGGTTTCTGCTTACCCAGACCAGTTCAACCTATAACGCCATTCTAAGCAAGATGGCTGCTCCGGTGATGGAATAAACCCACCTCTTGCCCAAATGTAAGGGCTGGAAAGATCATAAGGATATAAGTGGTCCTTCAGGCGTATTCGACACTATCTTGCTCACCCCAGTCATATATCGCAACAGCAGAGAAGGCAACTGCAGGATCACAGCGAATATTTAATCGCCGGCATCATCAAAATGGCGCTCCACGAACCTATCCAATAGCTCAAGATAAAATTTGACTTGGTGAGCGACCGCCAATTTAAACCATCATCATCTAAGACTAAGGTCATATTCGAGGGATGGGTATCAGTAGCGGATGTAAACTGATGATGTTCATATTATATATACCATCATTAGGTCCAGCGCCTTCATCGCTAAGGCAGTGGGTATGATAGGAACGTACTATGAATATCCGTTTCTGCATTGATTGACTGGAATGCACTGATCCGTGTCATACAGATATCAATATATCAAATGGGACAACTGTGGCGCACCTATGGTGCATTATCGCTGCAAGTACGGGTAATGCATCCCTCTGGTGTCTGCATCAATAGTAAGCCATTACCGAGATGCCATTTATGCTCTTAGATTATGTGCCAGTCACCTTACCACTGCGAACGGTCACTAGGCCATCCATAGTCTGCCTGCAGGACAGGTGATATCGTCCCACAGCTTATCATGCCCAGCTTTGACCTCCATCACCGCAGCACCTTCCCTCTCACGCACATCGCCTCATAACTGTCTAGTGTCATTACTAACCACACAGCCCGCAGCAACTGGCAGTCGCCACTACCTACTCCTTCAAGTTGCTGCTACGCCGCTCACCTTCATCGCCAGCTTGACGTACTCGAACAGTTGGCGTATTTTCATACATTCCCAGTGCCCACCACTTCTTGGCAGTACGCGGGATCGTTTATAATCGATGATCCATGTAGAGTTGATGTAGAGTGGGGAGTATGGAAGGAAATTGGTCCTCAATTGATCTGGCGACTTTCGAGCTTTGAACTTCGCGGAACACCTGGAGTTCACCATGGGCCCAAGCCTGTAAGGTGTGTGCACAGAATATTCAGAGAAAACAAGTGAACCCTGAGACAAATACTGAGTTGAGCCTAGGGATGCGGTGGATGGATGTTGGATGCTGAGCCACAGCCGAGGAGCAGAAATCTTGGAGGGAGCTTCAGTAGCATTGAAAATTCTCGAAACTTTTACTATGGGTGAACTCGAACAACCAAGACATGTCATGGAGACGATCGCAGAAGATGGATGTGCAATTGCTCCTTCTAGCAATCATGCACCATGCAAGCTGCGCTACTAACCTTAGGTTGCGAAGGTGGAGGTATATAGTATCACGTGACCAAACAAAGTTCTCAGGCTTCACGAGCTTCACATCTTTCTATGCACATGCATGTCTGGGGGCAGTGGGCCCTGGACGTCGACGATCATCGATCATCACCGACTAGCAGTATCAGATAATTATGAAGGTTTTTCGTATCATGAAAACCACCTGCGGAATTTTGGATCCTGAAAACGAACCACATGCGGTCAATAACTCAATACAGAAACCATAGTATCACGACCAACCGTCATGTGCAGATTCAGACGTTTTTTTCGTCTTTTCACTGAGATTTCTACGCCTTTGTCCGCATACTGCGATACATGCAAATCGAATACAAAGTGCAAGACCTTCGTATCATCCTCCCTCTCGAGCCCGCGTCGACTGTGGTGGACACTGATTTTGCTCTTGCGATATTACAGACATCCGAGAACAAACAATAATATCGCATTGCACGTCAGGTGCGGAAACGAGTTCAGGCACAGGTAAGAGCGGACTCGTATCGATTTATTGTCTTGATGTGAATGATTGGCGGCAGAAATATCATGAGCATATTTTGAACCTAGGGCTTATCGACCACCCGCATCTACTCACCCAAAGTTTTGGATTATGATTTCTGTAACTGGTGGTTCTTTCATTGGGAATGTCGCTGAATAGCCAAGTGTCCCAAATGCGATGCGCATTCTCTGCATTCCTGACGGAGTTGTTCCGTGGTTACTGGAACTCAACCTACCCTTTCGATTGGAGTCATGTCTGCTGAATTTGTCAATGATGCGGCGCAACCTGCATGTGCCAAGTCTGGATATGTGACTGCTGTACACCAAGGACCGCTGATATGGTTTGCTGTTGTCCACGCTGCGATGATTTCTCATGCATGATTGATGGTTATTCCGAATGTAGAAGCTCAGGCCTCTGTGACGGCTGCGCTGGAGAAGCATCAGAAATGTAACAGATGCAAACCTATGTCAGTGTTATCTCCATATGCAACAGCTGTACATTTAGACTCGTGAAGAGTGATAGTCGTACAACTTGTGAAAAATTTCTCCGCATATGTACCAATGGTACGTTGGTTTGCGGTCTATATTCTTGATCGTTGACTTGGTAGTATGAGTCAATATTTAGCACTTCACTAATTTGTCTGCGCTATTTTCTTATGTAATTGTTTCTTCAGTAGATAGATATTAATTTGTAATGTGTAACACGTAACGTTATCGTAATCTCGAGTTGTCACAATCGTCCATGTTCTCAGACGTCATAGTACAGTAGTACCACCGCGGGACTCAGCCACGAATCTTGTGGTAGGGATGCGATGCTCTTCAACAAAGATCACATTCTCATCCTAATGTGTACGTACGAGAATCCTCAGCATGAGGTCTTGGTTTTGGGGACCTAGCAACCTGACACACCCCGTGTAAGCCTCATCTCCGACCGTACAAACTAACAAGCCGATGGCAAGGTAAGTAATCACTGGAATTTCAATTTACATCATGAGCAGTATTACATGTCTGAAACCATTTACAGCCGTAAAATGCGGCTTTTTAGGCGCTGGCTGCACTTGAGCCCTTGACTGCTAAAATGGACTTAGACACTGATCAGGAGGAAGCTCCTCTTCTCGGGAAATCACCGGGAACAGCCACTACGTATGCCCTCACAGGCTTGACAACAAGGATCATACCGTAAACGGTCCTGCGTTACCGGTGAGAGATTATGATGACACGAGGGGGCCACGCTGCAGCCTTCTCTTCCCCACAGGCGCTCTCCTGTGTTATCGAATGGTACATAAACACACGTTCCGTGTCTGTTGTTTCTCTGCGATCGATCACCGACTTCAAAACCACCTTTTCTTTGTCCAGATTATCACATTTTGCATAGATGCATGACCCATCGTCAGCGTTCACCGCTGAAGACCAACAACGCCACCCGTACATCTCATCCGTTCTCGAACCCAGCACGCAGAAAGTGGTCGCCACTGCTGGTGTCCGAATCTACTATGCGCCTTTCAACAATCCTCATTTGAACTGGAGCTACTCTAAGCTCAAAGGAATCTTGGTCTTCGGACGTGACCGAGACACACACCATGGCACGTCTCCTCCGAAGCGAGGCGGTCATGGTGTGCGTCTCAAGGAGAAATACTGGTTTCGTCTCGTTGACATGAAGACAGACCGTGTGGTTTGGACATTTTCCATCCCCGAGGTCTTCGAGTACACGAAAGACAAGCCTTTCTTTCACTATTTCTCCGGAACGGTACGTCTGTTACCTTTTACCTCATTGAAAATAAACTGAATTCTGCGTCAGAGTCGCATGTTCGGACTTTGCTTCGACGAAGACGAAGAAGCAAGCGTCTTCTACAAAAAAGTCTCGGATCGGACGCGGCACCATTGTGAGCTTCAATGCTCGCTCGTGTTGTCATGCCATAACACGTGTTTTAGTCTTCCAACCCTTCCTCTTCAAATCCAGCAAGGACAAGAAAGAAAAAAAGAAGGCACCCAAATCTTCTTCAGTGAGCACTCGGCTAATCTCCAGCCCCGCGCCCCACTCCTTTGTCCATGTGGCCCATGTCGGAATCACCACTAGGGGCATCATCGAATCTTCCAAGAATATCAAACCCGCCTGGTCAACACTGATGGCAGACCTTCAGGGTTGTGGGGTGGCGCCTGAGATCGTCAAAGACGACAAGGATTTTGTGGAAGGGTTTATGGCGGGTGCTAAGGCAATGTCGGATAAACCAACGGCTGTGCAGCCCCATCGTTAGTCCTAGTGCTCCCGTCTCTGGAAGTTATCTTGCTGATGTCGGACCTGTGTAACAGCTCCAACTTCCCCAGTGCCTCCCGAAAAGCGCAAAATCCGAAGAAAAGCTGTTACCATTTTGTAATGCGTCCTTCCGTTCTGTTGTCACACTTATCTCTTGGCAGTCCTTGATCTTTCCTATGGTACTTTTGACTCACTAATACTTTTGCTTGTGATCCTTGAATGTTGTCTATGCGTTATTTCTTGTATGTCATCGACCACGTATTATTGGCACTGTAGCAGTAAACATAACAACACGAATTCTTATGTATGGTAATATCTCTAAGTCTATACAGTCTGTTATCAAGTCAGGCGAGATGGCCGCCGCGACAGATAATGACTCACCTATGGGTGAAATGAGCGTGGTGTAGGTGGCGCAGCCATGAAAATCAGAAGCGCGTCAGATCGCGGCCGAAAATCCCTACATTATGTATTAGCACCATAATATCACCGGAGTACACGGACAAGAACATACAATTTAGGAACCTGTACAGGAATGAGATGAGATCGCGGAATGTCAATCGGAGTGACGCAGGACTCACCAATATGTAGGCACTAGAATTCTAAGCAGTATACATCAGACGCCCCATAATCAACTGCGAAAATGGAACCACGTACTTGTTCCTGATACTAAGAGTCATAGTGAAATACGCGGAACGCCATAGGAGCCACGCTACACGTCCGGTCTCCTTAGTCTTGACAGTTTCAGCGCTTGATCGGTCATAGATTGCTTTCCTGTAGAGCCGAATCAGAAATGTTCGCCTTCTGATGGACCGCCACCCACCAGTCTCCCAGGTAAGCTAAGCTCCCCTGGTTTTGGAATTCAAAGGGCTTTGTGTGCTCCTGATCTTTGACGATTTTGTTAAGCTTCTGCGCCAGGTATTTTCCTTTCTGATTCGCGACTGTAAATAGGCGTTATCAGGATGAGAAGCCCGCAGCCCATGAGCGCCAAATAGGGTTATGGGCAAACAGACCTTGTGCTGTGGCGGGATGGAGCTGTCCTTTGATATTCGCAGCGTCACCGATAGCCCAGACATCTGGATCTGCGTGGCCTTCTTTTGTTATGACATTAAGGTTTTGGTCAGTGAAAAGGCTAGAGACAATCACATGTGTCAGCTTCGCTTCGCGGCTAATCAAGCATGGCTGCGGACCCTTGTGTCTTATCATGTTTCTCAAGAGAATCAATCGACTGGATAAGCGGATTAGGAGCCAATCCAGTACTCCAAACAAGGAGACCAAATGGAACTATAGTAGCCATAGTGAGCAAAAGTTTGAACTAAACAATTAGTAGCGTTGACTACGGACCTTCTCCTTGTTCTTTAACGAACATGCGGTCCTGTATGATAATCAGCGTCGAGACTTGGGATAACTGCACCGCGTTATTCGGACCTTCTCAACACGCTCCACGTGATGTCTTGTTTTAATGCTAATACCGTCTCTCCGGAACTTGTTCTCTGCATATCTATCGGTTCAAAGCTTGTCAGTGATAGCGGAGAAAAACAAAGGCTACCTACATTCCCAGGGACTTGTCAAAATTACCTAGGATGTTTGGCGCTACGTCGTAAAGTGTGATTTTGGCCATACGTGCGAGTGTCGGATAGTATCTCTGAATCTCAGCATGCAGCAAATCGTGCAACTCTGCTGAGAATTCGACACCCGTGGGTCCACCACCTATGAAGTGTTGTATCACTATAAAGGATCAAACGTCATCAGAAACCGGATGCTTACCGACAATGCAGAAATTGAGCAAGTTTCGGCGTTGGACATCAGAGAGGACAGGCTGATTGGCCTGCTCGAAACCTATGTAGGGTAAGCAATGTCTATGACGACTAGTAAGTACACTTACAATCTATTATGCGAGTCCTAATTGCTCGAGCGTCTCGCACGTCTTTCAGGAAATGTGCGTGCTCCTTGACGCCAGGTACGTTGAATGCTATCATTAATTTTATCAGAATGATGCGTATCACGACACGGTTCACGTACTCTGCGAGTAAGCTCCGACAGCTATCACTAACTTGTCGTAACGTAACTTGAACGCATTGCCCGTACCCGGGTCCGAAGTGTCTTTTGTGGTTGTTCCCGCAAGAGGGGCAGAGGCGGATCCTTCATATTCCAAAGGAGCCGTGGCAGGCGTCTGAAATCTGCTGTTTAGTGCACCATGACCATAGGCTTTGGAATGAGTACCTACGCATTTCAGGGTCTTTTGCTTGAAGTCTGAACAAACAAAAATCAGATCCCCACGACGGTCAAAGAAAGCGTAGACAGACCGATTGTATCACACCAGGCCTGGTAACAAACCTAAAAGTCAAACATGAATTAGTTCTCGGTGGCATGCGAACCAATACATCTCTAGATCCGACTTACTACTTGTGGGGAAAACCTCCGTACCTGACATTCATATTAATGGGAGAACATGTCACAGAAGTATGATATGACATACCGGTTCGACTGCACAGCGGAATTCGAGGGTACCGACAGCACAGCTGGCGAGCAAAGGCGTAAAATTGAAAGCATTGGTTGGCGAAACCATCGTGACATCTGCAAACGGGGGCCATCAACACCACGTTCCCGCGAACGCAGTCAGAGACTAACTCCAACGCTTCTTATCAATAGCTCTTAGAATCTCATAGCCTCCCCAGCCTGAACCCAATATGACCAGACGTTGTTTGCTCCGTGGCGCAGACGAAGTAAAAGTCCGTGCTGCGGAGACCGACGATTTTGCCGGGCGAGGTTGTACACGACCACATACAACACTCAAGCGCGCCTTGAACATGGTCTGGAGGAAACGAAGACTGAAATTTTTTGTTCTTGAGCGACTAGTAGCTTTTAAATAGTTATCGGTGGTGGATTAGATAATGGCAGCCTGAGTAGTGGCGTCATTAAACTGGAGCCATATTTTTCAATCGGGTCATGTCGGGAGGAATTGGCGCCCTATTATCTGCGTCATTTAATCACCGAAACGGATAACTACAAGGGTCAGCATCTAGTAGCCTATATCTGCCTGGCAACCTCAAACATCATGCGACTAGAAGTTGTACTAATGACATAGCCACAGCCAAACGTGGCACTCCTCGATGTGACGTCACGCGCCTTACAGGGGCTTGACTGAATGACTCGGTACTTCGAGAGAACTGGAAACCCCAGGCCAAGTTTTTATGAGAAGAAGATATAGGAAAGGATTGGAATAATATATGATCATATAAATCCACATAATCGCCAGCAAGAATCAACTGATTTTGATTAATAATTAGGTAATAATAAATAGTGTCCACCATCAGTACTGATGACAACGCCAGTAGCACCTCTTCCAAGTCTTCGAGTGTCTTCTCATTTCATTCCTAGCCTCAATCTCATCCCAAACACATCCCTGAAAAATTACCCTCTCCTCATATATCACGAATGTTTCCCACCGTCGATATCAGCTGCTATTATCGAGGCCCATCTGAGGTCCATCGGCGTCGTCGAGCCCCAGTGGAGGTACACTATGTACAACACGACACACTTTCATAGCACCACTCACGAAGTACTATGCATCGCATCTGGTCGCGCGAGGCTATGTTTCGGTGGAGAAGACAATCCTGGAAAGGTAGAAACGGAAGTCAAGATCGGGGATGTCATTATTATTCCCGCAGGTGTGGGGCACAGGCTCTTGCAAGACTTGGACGGTGGATTTGAGATGGTCGGAAGTTACCCCAAGGGAAATGACTGGGATCTGTGTTATGGTAGGGAGGATGAGAAGGCAAATATTGAAGCCATCAAAGACATAGCATGGTTTGACAGAGACCCTGTTTACGGCGACGAAGGACCTGCACTTCAGATAGTATATGGTGGCGTGTAACGGATCGTACGCCCTGCATTCTGAATCGTTTACTAAGCAGGAGAAACGAAAGAATGAGACAAGTATCAGCGACCTAAGAAAACCAGTGGGCAAGTGAGAAGCAAAGTGTAGATTGTAAGTATGTGGAAATGAAGACGCAACAAAATGCAGCACGCCCATCCGGAAAGTATATGATACAGTAGACTGAACATTCAATCACTGGCAGCCTAATTGCCGCTTGGCTTCCGCTTCTGCCTCGGTAACAACACGTCCCTCCACTTCTTTCTCAACCTCCACGCCAAGCTGATGTACACGGCCACGGTCCGCGCCTATGAGCGACACATATACACCTTTCTGTAGGACTGGATAAGAGCCTATCCGAATACCCTCAGGCTGTACTCGCTTTTGAAGGTCGGTGAGGAACGGGGCAATAGACGACTCGGGTAATCTAGAACCACGATCAGTAAATCATTACGAGTAGGGAGATAAGATAAGATGCTTACCCCGTGAACACTTGGAGCCGGAAAGGTCGCTCCTCTTCAGGTGGGAGAGGAAGGAAGGGTTTCAGGTTATCTAGCATCTTCTGGAAGAGGGTGGGTATCCCTGGAAATATGCAAAGATTTCCTTGCAGGCGAACAACGGGCTTGTCGAAATTAGTAACCAGTCTTAGAGCCGTATTCAAGCATGCTCACCACCCATATGTCGCTTGCAACGAAAATCACCTCCGCAGCATCAGGGAACAGTGCCATACGTTTCCGTGCCGTTCGCTGTTCCTCGCTCTGTTTTGATACCCAAGTTCGATATTTGCCAGACTCCTCCATACGAGCGAGAGTTTCATCGTGATATACAAGGCCCTGATCAAAAGACTTCGCCAAAGATGCATATGTTATGTCTGTAGGCGAAAAGACACGAATGGCGTCATGGTCGTGTGCCTGAAATGATGTTCACAATAAACGTACCATCATGGGTGGGCCCGATACCGCCCGACGTCACTACAAAGTCGTACGTTTGCACCATTCTCCGGCTGGCCTCAATGCTGGGGCTCGCTGAGCAGCTGCGCCCCTGCAATATGAATGTTACAAGTGACGCACGTACATTTCAGCTTCATCATCTGCTATCACTTCTACGCGTTTCCTGCAAGTCGAATTGGTGACCAGTGCGCGGACTAGGCAGGGAGAACACTCACAAATGAATACCATGCTCAAAACAGAATCGTGCAAAGTAATTAGAGTTCCGGTCGAGAGTCTTTCCATTCAGAATTTCGTCCCTTGACAGTTGCTTTCAGTTTTTTTGTTCGTCAACACAGAACATAATATACACACCCAATGATGAGCGCTGCAGCAGTCTTTATATACCGTCCATTGTCAGATGGATTCTTCTTTGGTACAGGAGAAATCGCAAAGTTCAACGGTGGTAATTGAAAGGTTGAATTATCTGGCGGAACTGCAGTACATGACATTGGCTTCGTATGAGCGGGGAGAGGTGCTCGACGGAGATGGGTAGAAAGGGAGGCGAGTCTTGCTAACGTGCGAGGATGCATGGCTCATTGAGCAAAGAATATCATGTAGTGGGAATGAAGATGACGTGATTATAAGGTCCAGGCCTTGATTCACACTGGGACGAACAGCGCCGCGATTTTGGTCAAAACGAACAAGATGTCGGTACCGCGGTGAAGCAATTTGCACCATGTACGTGAATATCGCCATTCTTAATACGATTTCTTAAATTTCGGCTCAAAAACCCAGTGCACCATCATTTTAGAAAAGCGTTCGTTAACGTCGATGTGATTCAAAAGCGGGCTTTGCCACTTTAGATGGCGCTACGTACTTATAAATAATGCAACCAGACCGCTCAAGCGCTCATCCCTGAGTCTTTGACGGAACTAGTAAGGTATATATGGTACACAAGAGGTAATATTTAGATAGAAAAAAAAACGGTATTAACGGGGCATCGCATGGCGCAGGCTTCTGCGGATTGGGCGTCTCGTGTCGGAAACTGCATCAGAATCAACAATATCCTGAGATACGCGTCTGCGTTTCGAGGGTCCATCACGGGTAGAGCCACCGCCCCGAGCAGGACTATGTCCAGCGGAACAGAAAGAGAACGAAACGGAGGGAGAAGACCCATCGGACGCAGTATGAACGATACTAGATATGTCCATACGATTTGCAGTCCCGCATGCCTCTTGCTCGTCGGAATCTCGGCAACGCTTGCAGAACTTACGGGAAAAGGCCCTATCGCCTTCGTTGCTTGCTGCAGCCTTTACGGCGCCGGCAGCAGTGTCTGTCTCCTGCGTAACTTCCATCGGTGTGTGCACATCTGCGGGAGAATTCCTCGCTGTAGATATGTCCTCTTCTTGGATCTGAGGACTCGCTGGAGGAGATGGGTTGGGAGTACCATAGAAAGCACCGTGGCGCCGGAGTCGGCTACCCCGTTGTGTTCTGATCGGAGCCTTCCATTGGTCATCATCAGTGGAAGTTTTCAAGTTGGTGTGCGCAATAGGAGTGCTGCTCCTGTATGATGAAGGGTGAAATGCGCGTGTGGGAGTTGTCTGATAGGAAGGCAACCCTGGCACTGAGAAAACGCTTGGCGATCTTTCTGGGTTCGCAGCGGGTGTCACGGGCTCTGGTGTTTCCAAAATGATAGGCGAAGAAAGTACTGCTGAGGTATCTTCCGCATCTTGCGCGTGGCTTTCCAACAAGGGTGCAAGAGATGATACTAGTTGTCGCTGTTCCGAACGAATCTCCTCTATGATGGCCTGCTGTGTGCTAAGTATTGATTAAGTACTTTGAGCAAGTACAACAACATCATGAAGATAACTCACACTAGTTTCGACTGCATCATGGTGATCGATTGATCCCTTTCCTCGGTTTTCTCGCCTTGAGCGGACATCATAAGAAGGATGTCTAGGAGCTTTGCGTCCTGTGCTACAGAGATCTCCATGATATCCCGGACACCGGTAAGCACTCCATCCATCTCAGGGGATAGCGACGACAAGCTGGGGGAAGAAGTATCTGTAGATAAGAAGGGCGTCATCTTCAGGATCAGATTGGGTATGGCGAGCAATGGGTGATTTGGTGGTTTCTGTGGTACTGAAACCAAGATCGCGCAGTCTGGACGCCTTAAATATTGCAAATAGACCAATGCTTTGGTCCCTCACGACATCAAGGGTAAACGCTTGGATGCATGCTTGGGCAGCTCTTGCGTCAATGCAAACTATGCGCTTTGACAACTTGCACTAAGAAGACCGCCCTGGGCTTTGGCCATAGGTTGCCCATAATTTTAAACCTATTCATTGTCGCATCGTCCTGCAGTAAGTGAAAGTCAGAGCTACACATAGGTCTAGCCTAGGCCATACGCATGTCTGGGGAGATTTCTGGCGCACAAAGTTCAACTATGACGCACAATTGGAAAGGTTTCAGTTCAAGCGCCGCCCCCGCTACCTCTCAGATCTCAGACTTCAACTTGGATGGAATGATAGACCCCCCGGGCCGTGCAACCGGTATTGGCCTTCACCAGCAATATTCCGGAGCATGGCTGCAGAGCTGCAGATTTCCTGCAATATCATGAACAACCTATGATTTTAAAAATATGTGAATGTCAGAGATTTGGCCAGTCTGGGGCCAAAGTCTGAGGCGGAGTTCCGAGTCTGGGGCCTTTGCAAGGCAGGTCGCGGCTAACCCGGGCTGAGTTTTAATTGTATCTGGTCACGTGTTTGCAAAGCGCGTTACGTTGTGTCTGTCCGGTCTGTTCCATCGTCGCATATTTCTGATCATCCATGTGCCTAGGCGTCCCGGGCGCAACAACGACCAATGACATTTACAAGGGTTACTTCATCCCTCAAGGCCTCAAGGTTTGTAAATGTACCATGTTGAACGACCGATGGTTGCTGACGACCTAGTTTGTCAGGGGTAGCTTCATTTCTGAACATATGGAAAGCTCTCACTTCCTTGATACTGAATGTCTCGAGATGGGTCGCCGGATCTGGTGAGCATACATCGATGCAGCTTCTTTGCTCCCTTGGTACGCTCGCGGTGGGCAGTGGGCAGTAAGTCATGCAACAAGAACGCATAAATGTAATCAAATTCTCTTGTTCCCTGCAGAGGCCCGTAGTACGCTCGTAGTGTATTTCATATTACACATCTCCTGTGTTACACACTATTGCCAGTTGATACATGCACAGATTCTTGGAAAGCAATTGAACTCAGGTTAGGTCCTGCATCGAAGTCGATCATGAGCCTAGCGTAATATTCTCGAACACCGAGGATCAGCTGTGGTCCCAGTACAGCTGACTGCACAATGGTGAATATTTTGAGAAAACCAAAATAAGTCATAATTGCTGGGGAATATGGGTCCTATAGGAAATGATACATCGATGAAGCGTGGTTGCATGCGGAGGTCAGTGACACATTGGCGTACCTTTGGCATCGTTGGCGAACAATAACCGAGGCAAAGGCATAAAACTACAACGGAGCTGGTATATGAAGAACTTCAACGGAAAATATAACCACGTTCACAATATTACTTCAGGTGAGGTATTCTGGGAAAGGGCAATGACGATCCTGATTTTTTTCATGCAACTTGATGTATTCTATGGATGCTGAGGTTGAGAGAGTGGGGAGGAGGTGAGAGTGCAATTATTATCATCTTACCTTGTCCCTCGCTTGCACTAGATACGAGGAAAATGTCATCTGGAATGTCTTTGATCTTCATCCCAAGAGATTCCTTGCACCGTATACGTAAGGAAAATGGATCTTCATGGGAAATCAGCCTGAGGCAGCGACTGAGGTGAGAACATGCGCTGGGGTCGAGAACTTGGAAGTTACATGGGCGAATCAAACATGCATCGCAAACTCTTTCCTATCAGTCAGATCTTCACGGGGAAGTGACTTCCGCGCACCTAACCTAATTATAAAGGGTGATGGGGTAATGCTTGCAGAGGCGTGCCCGACGCACCAAATACATAGAGGAAAAAGTTGTTGTGAGCCTATCTATTAGCTATGGTCCCCTACGATCAATCAGACACCTTCACACAGAAGTCACTTCCACGCACCTAACCTGGGTGATGGAGTGACACTTGCAGGGGCGCGCCCGAAGAGGAAAGAGCCATAGGTTGCTGATACATCATCATGGGTGAGTATACCGCAGGAAATGGAATCATTTTGATTGTCCTAATCAATTATTAGTGCTCCGGCGCGATGTGCTGTTGTATTTGATGTACTTTTCATTAGTGTTACCCAAAGCGGCATACCGGCATCTGCCAAATTTCAAACTCCTCGCTTCGCCTGCCAAATCAGTCCGAGTTCAACCAGTCTGACTACGTCAATAAATTCTCACCCATCTCAAATTGATGCATAGACTTGGTTACGAGTCTATCAAGAGTAGCGACTAGCTTGCCTGTCTTGGTATCCCAAATTTTGACATTCTTTTTGGAATCTTTGGAATCTGCGGATCCGCCAGTTGCAAACATGGTCATGTCTGGCGAGTAGACGACTGCATACACGTCTTCGTGCCCTGTCCTGATTGGTGTGAGGTTTGCCTCTCTGCTCTCTACATCCCATTGTTTTGCAGTCCCATTGTCAGATCCGTTCAAGACTCGCTGACCATCTCCACTCCAACAGATAGAATTCACTACTTCTATATGCCCCATCCATCTCATGATGACTTTGCATGTGTCTATGTCCCATAACTTCACTCTGCCATCCTACTCCTGCTGACCACTTTCTTCCCGTCCAGAGACAACACCATGGTGCACACTGGACTGTCATCGTCCCGCCAGTCGTCTCCTATCTGTTTCCCACTCTTCAAGTTCCATACCTGCAGCGAGCCGTCCAATGAACAAGTCATTATCTGTTGTCCGCCTGGTAGATATATGGCGTCGCGGACCCAATTGGTCTGTCCCTCCAATTTCTGGCGAGGCATTATCCTCGAGGTCTCCTGTCTTTCAACAATGGGTGAAGACATCTGGACAGAGCTCCGTTTCAGCTTTCATCCAACAAAGTCCAAAACCATCACTTATGACGATATGTTCCTCAGCAGGTCACGATGTGTTGATACCAAGACACAACCAGCGTTAGGTCAAAAGTGCACTGGAAGTTTAAACTGGGATGTCCTTGTATTCGCTTCACAGCTTCTAGAAGGCTGTGCAACTGAAGCACCCAACCCCTCGTTTCTGATCAACCTCATGGTCCTAACTCCCATGTTCATTATCGGTCCATACAACAAATTGCGCCTCACTACCTTTGCTATGTCTTGCAGATGATCTTGTCCTGACATATTGTTTTCGATCTCGTCATGGATGCTACTCTTTTAATCGCAGTAAACGAAACTTGCCCTCGGCCGCAGATATCGGAGCACTTGGCCAGGGTTAAATGAAGCTGGAAAGCATCAATATTTTCCAGAACAAGGTCAACTTGATCAAGCTCTTGCTAAACATCAATCGCTGCATTCATCAAAGGTGGGTCCTCAGTGGCATGGATCATCCAATGCTTTACTAATTCTCATAACAGGCACAGTGGCCAAGTCGTCATCCATCGTACACAACCGAAATACAACATCTGCACTGTCAATGAAATCATTGCAAAGCGTCTACCTATCCCAGTCCGCGACTTTGCTTTCGATCCTGGTCTCATCCGTTCCTTCGATGTCAACAAGCCTGGTGCTGAAGTTCATGAACTCGAAGGTGGTGTTGCTAGTGTTTTTATCCTTACGGGCCAGGGCAACAAGTCAAGATTTGTCCAGTTATCGCAACGAAAAACGCTCAGGGCCGGAACCGTGCAAGCCCGTTTCCAGCAGGATCGTCTCTGCATGCTGAGAACAATCGCTTGCAGTTTGCAGTTTCGGGAAAACTGATTGGTATTCGCACCAAGATTGATCCAACGCTATGCAGAGTGGATCGTTTCGTTGGTCAGGTGTTGGGTGTGGTTGGGAAGCTTCCGAAGGTCTATACCGGCGAGCATCCTCGTTTTAGATATGCCATTGCATTTTCAAGAGAATCTGGAGCTTGAAACAGTTTGTTCCTTCCCTGGATGTTCATACAGAGAAGAAACAAACACAGGTCTCAAAATTTGCCAAGAACGAGCTCATGGTGATTAACATTGATTTGACATTGGCTGGTGGGCAGGTAATAGGCATGAGAGGGGCTCTCGCGAAGGTTCAACTGACTTCACCCGCATGTACTGAAGTTGGAGGGAAGGTCGTACTTTTGAGACATATTGAGAAGCATTGGTGGCTTGTACTCAAGTGTTTCTGTTGGCTGAGTAGACTGATTAGCTACCTACTTGATGTGACCAGAGCCAATCTACATATGTATCATTTCTGGAGCATGCAAATGCAAGTGTTTTTCATTTCAGTAGTAAACATGTTTATTAAGAAGAGTGGCTTTCCTGATCAGCTAAGGCTTGTGGGCAATAACAAAAACATAGAATCGATCGTGGTATGTAAAGTGTTCCTCAAATTCATGTCTCTATTTTATGTACTGAAAGGATGAGATGGGAGAGATCTTCGCAAAGAACAAGCAAACGGATGGGATACACTACTGATGATCATGGGTATACTCAGTAGAGGTGCAACAAATAAAGAGCCAGAAGCGAGTCCAGCGTCCACCATGTCTTATTGAGGATTAGCGCTTGAAGGTGTGGTGGAGGTGGGTACGGCAGTATGCGATTGGGAAGATGACTGAGCCTGAGTTGTGCCACTAGACTGTTGTGTGGCATTGCTATTGGGAGGACGTGGGATGCTTGCAGCAGGCTTCTTCGATTTCAAGGGAATTATTGGCCTCCGCCTTTCATGTGCTGATGCGCACCTCTGTGTGATATGAGATGAGATGGGGTTTGAATATCTGAGAAGGGGAGTGTGACATACGCGTTGGCCTGGCAATGAAAGACATCAACTATTGCTGAGGGATGCTCGTGCAGCTCGATATCTTCACTGCTTTGTCTGCCACTGGCAGAGAGACAATTTCGTACCCAGTGGAAAGGGCGGGGTCGCGAAGACGTCTATTTTTCAGTTGTTTGTAGGCCCGTAGACAGGCAAGATATATGGAATAGTTGGCAATGTGAGGATATTGGGCACAGCTGTTGAAGGAATGCGAGGAATCTTGATTTTGAGAGAGAGCGGGTCATGCAGGATTGTACTGCGAACATAACTGGTCCTATGTGCGATAAGAATAAGCAGAGTCATCAAAGGTGAAGAATAAGTAAATATATGTGGATCTAAGCATAAAGCTGCAAGATAGTGGTCAGCTGGTCCGTCTTCGGGCTGTTCACTTGAAAGCAGGAGTTAATGATAACATAAATTTGGCCCATCTCTTCAATATTGAAACCACTCGACAAATCCTCGAACAAACTATTTGATAATCCGCAAAGTGCCAGCCAATATTTGTACACATTAGCCACGTTTGTTTGCGTGAACTCAAGACAAACGATAGCCTTTGCAATTGGGCCTTGAGGCCTGAACATTGATGAAACGGGGATGACAACGAGAGCACGAGGATAATGATACAGGTAAGCTATTTCACGCTGGAGTATGTCCAACGTGTTCTGCCACTCATAAGCTGCAACTACAGCCTTGAAACCCTCCCCTGACAATCCTAATGCAATCCCACGGTAGCGACAGCGTGCATTATGGTTGTTGCACAATTCTTGATTATTGGGGAATTTTTTTGCCAAGCTCATCCAGGAGGTGTGCGAGAACCAGTAGCACTGCTCTCCATACAAGTGATATGAGGGGGCTTGTCAATGTACTAGAGACAGTACAACAGATATTTGGAGCACTGAAGGTGCAGGGTCCAGGAACTGTAGAGTACAAAGTGTGTTGTATCGCAGGAATCTGTCATTAAGGAATGCCGCTGCATTATGAGGTGGACCAAGAAGGTACACATGGTCAAGTGCATTGGTTCCAAATGAAGATGGAGAGAATAGCTCTGACTGTGCGGAGCCACAATTTTATCGTGGGTGGACAGTGCGATCCGCGCATGCTACCTCAGCTGAAGAGCTGCTCCAGTGTCGGAAATAAAACACAAGAGATTCATGTTCGACACCTTCTGCACATTTACAATATTCGATTCGATCAAGGGGACATGAGTGGTAACGATTTTCAAGATCTTCAACTGATTTCGCCATCCACGAGGACCACTCTCTCACTGACATAGTAGGCATAATGATACTGTGCGGGCATTGGAACCATAGGCAAATGAGATCAGGAGGAGGCTCTGACATGAATGGACGAAAGAATGTAGCCAGCCAACGGCTGGTGAATGAGCGGCCTTGTTTTTAGGGACATGATAAATTTGTCAAGGGTTTTGGCACTCGGACATTGGACTGATCAGATTTGCTTTGTCATCAGTCAAAAGCTGCGCGGCAGAATATTTCAGATTGATCGAGTCGCGATCGCAGCTTGCCGATTGAGTTTGAATTTCGAATTTGATGTGCATTGACGAAAGCCTATGATACTCCGTAGAAGTTGGTGCACTTATAACGTATCTTTGAGCACCAACCATGTTGCTGACCAGTTTCAGGCTTCCACACGATGTTTTGTACCGTGTCCTGTCCTTTCTTTCCGCCCGCGAAATCATTTGCCTTCGACTGGTGAGAAATTACTGCTCATCGTTTGCGGCGGATCATCCCTTCATATTGAATGTGTTTGTAATGATTGATATAGGCGTGCCAAGACCTTCGCAACTTGACATCCTTATAAACATGCATAACTTCCTCGTCACCTCGGACCACTTGACTCTCAGTCTTGCGAGTTCTTAGAATACACTCAACAAAAGCACTCAAGTTGGCGTTGACTGGACCAAGCAAACACTAATGATAACTTCTAAGGTCACTCAATTTGAGCCTGAGTAGTCTGCCTTGCAAGGAAATCATTGGGAAGTTGTGGCTGGCTTTCGAATCAGTATCGAAGACGACAGAGACAGGGAGACGGCCGATGAACGAGGTCATGATGGTGAGAGCGCAAGAGGGGCGTATCGACAGCGATGCGGTGATTGAACAGGCGAGAGCTAAAGGCGGTGTAGAACGATCGATCAACACAGCCTCATTACCATCTAAGGCGAGAAAGAGAGGGGCAGCAAGATCGTGAAATCTACCGCCAAAACGTGAAAAATAGCGAGCTATAAGACCCACTCCCTAAAGGTAGCGGGAATACGGATGCGTTAAAGGCGTTGAGGAAAATCCGGACATTGAAGAAGGGCATGTTTCATAATCATTTTGATGGCTCTGCCAGCCTTCAACAACGTAGATAGTATGCATAGTGGCGAGATATACTGGCTTATCGGGATCGAATCTGCTACATGGTCGTTAGCTGTCATCTCTCCGACTTTGACAATCAAGATACAGAAACATGAAGAAGTTCAGGTGTTGGCATGCGGTGATGTACAAGTTTCAAGATCACCAGAAAATTGGTAAAACTGAAGTAAGACGGCGCCGTAACTTTCGAGCATTTTGGATTTGATGGCATAAAATGGTTGAGATGAATGATATTGACGTCTAGAGTGCTCTGATAAATTGACTCAGTGTAAATCGCTGAACTCTTACTTCCACTGATTAGCTAGCGGCCATCCAGAACAATGAATCAATTCTTGGAATCTCCCTGCGTTGGTCAGAGACAGTCTTGAAGGCCTCAAAATACTACTTTAAGTGTCAAGATTGAAGACACTGAGGTTCATTCGGAGTATTAGAAGACCGTCATCTCCAATACTTTCCAATTTATGCGCTCACAAAAGCAACGGACTGTGCAAATAGTGTCAAGATTTGCTCTGCAGTCCTAAATGCATCATGAACAATGTATTATTTACCATTTTATGAGCCGATAAATGTTATAACAAGCTACTCTTTGAGTGTGATATCCAGCTTTGCATGTAGTGTGTTATCGCAGTCTACATCTGTGGAATTGCTACGATGAAACAGTCAGTTGAATTTGTCAAAGGAGAAGAGTGGCAAGATATGTTGCTTGCTGCATCACTGTTGCAAGACAAAGACCGAGTTGAGGAAACAAAAGACTTAATCGTACATCACCCACCGATCATCCAACTGCCAACTTGTGTTGACAAAATGCTTGCCATGTACTACATTGCTGATGTATCTGCATAGCCAACGGGGGACCAACAAATAGTCGCATGAGAATTATAAATGTATCAGTATCTCAGATTCGAATGTGTCAAGGCAGATTTAAACTTGCCCCTCCCACACGAGTGTTTCCGTGAATTTTGTTCCTACCCCTTGAACACCCTTGTTTCACGACCAGGTTCCCCGTTTCCTGTTTCTAACAGAAGTGAAGCACATGGAGAAGCTGGAAGACTAGGGGAAGAGAGACCATAGCCAGCGACCCATCTCCCCTTACTCCCCATATAAAAGCTGAACCACCATATACGTCCTGCAGAAGATGGCTGAGCATAAGGAACAAACCAAAAAATGTGAATCTATACCTCGCGCAACAAAATCATGATTTAATTCTCGTGTAGCGCGTAGACGTTTCTGGAACATCCTGATACGGAAGGAAGCAACGAACTGGTGGTCGTCCAGTTCTCTCCCATGATGTACTTCGATCTCATCTGGTGGACAACCTAGAAATCGTCTTAAAGACTCGTCCTTGGCTGATGAGTACATTATACATCAATACAAACATTCTCGATTGGGCATTGCGCACTGATAGAAAGGAGAATATGGATGGTTGTCTGCATTTGACTCAGATGTTAGAAATTGTGTCATACGATGGAGGTAGCACTTGCTATCATCAATGACTTCGGATTTCGTAGCCATTATGGCGGGGTGAGTGATGTGAAGGGGGTCTTTCGTTGAGGTAATACAATAGAATAGGGGCATCATGATCGTGCCAAGCATCCCATGCGACCCCATAGGGTAAGCACAGACTATTGGTTGGCTTGCTTTAGAGTGCATCCATTGCACAGTACTGTGTGGTCCGACCCGGAGGCACAGTTTTTAGGAACGGGCTTCGTTTCATCTTTCATGGGCCTCCGCTTCCGGCGTAAAGGGTGCATATTGATAATGAGTCAGAATATTGGTTAGGATTTTGGCATATAGTACGTCGTAGGTGTGTTCGTGAGCCAAATTGCAAATAATTAGGACGACAAATGTGACATGTGACGCGTGACCAGCGGCACGGGAGAGAGACACCACAACTTTCACTGACCTGTGGGACGCCTCATTACTGGTTTTCTGCCAGAGGAAGTATTGATGGTGAATGGTGACTTGAAGCGAACAAGGGAAGACCAAGATCCTGATGATGGTCAGCACGAAATTCCAACATATGCCTTGTATGGTCATAGTTCTCACATCATTTTTAGAGCAGATACCAACTCACCGGACAAAAATTCCCAAGCAAATTGATTGGCCTTCATCGACATCTTCTGTTGGAATTAGCAGCACTGTTGAAAATGGTACCCAAAGTGAACTTGCAGATCCTCGTTCAAATGCTTCATGTCCAGCACTGCCCAACGCCCACGGAGATACTATCAACTCTTTGCTTGACCTAACTTTGTTATGCTATCAGGATGACATATTGGCTCGGTTTGACTCGATTTCAAGCACTTTATTATCCCAATATTATATTTCAGTCATTCATGGCAGCTTTCACTGGCAGACAGACTATGAAATCCTTGAACTAGAATTTTACCTCCAAAAGTCAGGCTGTCATGAGGACCCATTCACTCATGGAAGTGCAGAGCAAGAGCGCAGCGGGCAGTGGTGAGAATTGACTCTTGAGTTTTCGTATAAGAAATACTATTCAAATTGGCTCTCACAGGTATTTTCATCGTGCACCGAAACGCTCAAACTCGTCGCAAGTCAATCTTGCTGCAAGTGTAGCAGGAGGTTATCGGGGTGGTACATGTAAAGGCCTTGATTTGACATTTGGTGGCCCGGCGTGCACGCAAACGTCTTCTAGTGCGGAGCCTCGCACCACATCAGGAATATTGCGAGGTGGTGCTCTTCTGCGTCCCATACGTTGATTTCACGACCAAAAGGTCATCTCAGGGCCCTCACTCCTCGTCTACGATATTCTGCGTGTATGCAATGCTTCGAACATCAATGAGCTAGTGTCTGTTAAATGGCAAGGGGACATCGCTGCCCTTTCAGCTCCGAGCCAAACGAGGAACATTTATATGTACTTGCACAAGCGACCTGCATCGAGCCTTGCGGCCTCGCCTGTGTTCCGTTCTCCACGCATTGGACTCGATCTTTTTAACCCGGAAACCAAAGCGATCCCCACACATCCACAAGTTGTCTTCGTCGGCAAACTGTATCGGTACTTCACTTATCCAGAGTTCCTCGTTGCTAACGGGTGCCCTCAAACGTTCGTAGGACTATACATGGCCCTTGTCAAAGGAAAGAAGTATAAGCCTCGCTCTTTCAAGTTCTGCAACGAATCAAGTAAGCTGACGGGAATCAAGGACACAAGTGTTGCCAAATATTTATCAGACTATCAGCTAGGATTTGAGAAAGGGAAGTTGGCGAACTTTGTCGGGGCTATTGGAAAAGGTGCTCCAGCATCGGCGTCTACATATCTCAAGATGATGGGCACACTCAGAAAGGTGCTCCATGAGGCCCCATGAAAATATCATATGTATTCAAGTATCTGTAAGTTGCGCCTTGAGTCCTGCTCTAGTGCTACAGCTCAAAATTCTATTTCTGAGATAGTACAAATATGCCATGAGGCTTGTGTTGCTGCCCAGCAAGAGGCAGCTTGGAGGCAGGAGGAACTGAGGCTCTACAAGCTGCAACTCGATAACACGCAAAAAGAAATTCTCAGAGCTCAAGATATACTTGGAGTCATTGAAGCCCAGAGGGACGATGCGGAGGCTGCTGCCACTGACACATGCTCAAAGGCTCGAAAACTGAATGAAGAACACTTGATCGAGCTCGCAAGGGAGGAGGGTCGCAGGCTCAGGTATGAAGAAGGCATTCGATGCGGTCGTAATACGGGTTACCGAGAAGGGCGCGTCGTTGTTATCGATGATGGTCGGTCTCCAATGCCATGCGCTTGATAATCTTGCCTGCAGTCTGCTCGTGTCCTTCAAGAGCCCGGTAGGGACAGCCACTTCCAAGCTGCTCATCAAGGGAGAAGATGCGGGGACGTGGATGAGCCCTGACATCGGCGTATTACAAAAGCACGTCACTCCTTCGCCATTCGGCAGGGGAGCAGAGACTGTCTTGGACCCAACTTATAGGAACGGAACAGAGCTCAAAGCGGATGAGCTTGCTTTCAGTTTGCAGGGGGATAAGGGAACACAATATGAACTATTTGTGAGCAAAGTTGAGGATGAACTCCAGACGAGCATGTTCGTCGGGAGAAACATTATACAAGCTCGCCATATACGGCGAAGGAGGTCATTTCGACTGGCATCGTGACTCGACGCATAGCGATGCTCACCATGGAACGGTGCTCGTCGCGCTCAACACAGAATGGGAGGGGGGAGAGCTTATGCTGAGGCATCAAGGCGTCGAGACAATTGTCAACATGCATCCAAGAAAGCATCCAAGAAAGTCTGGCGAAGAGCTCCAGCCAGTTGTGGTTGCATTTTACACAGACACAGAGCACAAAGTCATGCCCGTGACCAAGGGCACACGTCTGGTGCTCCAGTATGACGTCGAACTCATCGAGCAATCATCTCAATATCGGATTAAACCACCTACATCAGTGAATTGAGGAGTCCTTGATATGGTAGCCATGGGAACTATAATTGGATATAATTCCGCTTATGCTAAATATGACTCTTTCACATGCCAATCATCATGATTGGTGACTTCTGTTCTCGTCCGCTTTTCTAGTGCGAGTGTCAACAATGATTGTATCTCTACCTTACTCAGATTTTGTGTAGCAATATTTGCATGATTTTCGATGTGAGCGTGTCATGGTGTTCTACAATTGAGTGGTGTTGACAGGGTAAGCGACGAATACAGGTGTGCACAGAATACAATGGGTCATAAAACAGAAGGTATGATTGGGTAAGGTGATCAATATCGCGAGGCGGACAATCTGCAACATCAAGAAGAATGTAGTAACATGGGCATACAGCACGACAGATATAACAACCATGGATATCATATACCAGCAGTAGTCACGTCAGGTCGTCTTGGCATCATTTCTAGAGAAGGCGACATCGATCTCCAACCAGGAGGCGTTGCGTTTTCGCCCCGGGAGTAACGTCGAGCCTTCTGGGGCCTTACAGGTGTACTTCTTGCGGGATAATCTGCCTCTCCCAGTATTGGTATGGCCGCAGCCTACGAACGGACATCGAAAGACCATATACTTCTGAGAGAAATCGGCCTGGATCCGCTCCCACATAACTGGGGTCCCGCATTGCGGACACTGTAGAGGAAGTACATTTCCCCATGGACAAATAGAGGTGTGGGCCCATTTGTAATGGGTAATTTGAAGCGGCACCGTGTCTTCAGGTGTTGTGGTCATCAGGAGAACGTCTGTGTGCATACCTAACCCCGACTGGTCAAGCATATTGGGAAATGCTTCACGCAGTGCAAAACCTTCGACGATGACGGCTTGTGCGAATGATATGAGAAAATGGGAGGTTAAGCAAGGATGAAAGTGCTTGGCAGTAAACGCGACTGCATGTGAAAAGGCATGATCAACGACAGACGAACGCAAGCCCCGAAAACCTTCTGGTTGGGTGACAATGGTGCCACAGCCAAGAAAAAAGAGGGTGGTACTCTCCGCGCATTGTATCACTTGCCCCCATGGGCCAAGTAACGAATTTATGAACTGAAATATTGAGCATCTGAGGGCGAGAATGCAAGCAACTAACAGTAGACTTACATCAGGAACGGTGGCCGCAACATAGGAAGATCCGTGGGAGTATCCAAGAAACGGGTCGCCAGTGGTGTTGTCTGTGTGATCGGTGATCGCTATACACACAGTTTGGTAGTCGCAGTCGTCCATCACGTCGTTTGCGAGCTTCTCATACTGTTGGGAATAGGCCATGATCTTGGCATCGGTGCCAAGGTCAAAAATCACTTCAATAAATCGGAGGCCCCCACTCAGAAAGAAAGAAGAAAGATACAAGTTAACCGTGTCGATCGGGCTTGCAGTGGCCTCAAACCCCACAAGTTTGAAGTGAATCACAAGTACGGGCCTTGTGGATATCTGAGAACATTTAGAGAGTTGCAACGTTCCAATGATGGGTAGGAATGACGGTAAAACGGGGTTTCCATCCTTGAAAAATCCCTAAACGGTTGTTATGAAGTGAATGACAAGACATATATAAGTAGACTCACATAAAACGGCGCAAGATCACCAGACCTCTTGTCCGAGAGTGTATGACAGTGTAAGCAACGGAACTTGACACCTGGTTGCTCAATGAGGTGTAGGTGACTGGCCGGAAGTAACATGCATCTGGTACACATAACACGTGGACAGCCAGACTCCTCACATGCGTAGAGGGAGTCCTTGCCATTGCTAGGAGTGCCATCTTGGCAGATCAAGCAAAACTGTAGATATGAGTAGAGGATCGTCAATTAAGTGAAGTGCCACTCACATCATTGTTTGGTGGTCCAGAGTGAATTTCCAGGCAAGATTGAACCATTTCTTGAAGGATGTGTGGCGGAGTTGTGTGCCTTTTCCCTACGAACACTGGAGCTTGGAACTTTGGACCATTCTTTCGAGGGGCAAGCCCACCAGTCGATTTGGGAGCGGTTTGTTTGGTTCTTGCCATTGTGCGAGACCGTCAAAGAAGAGCAGTGAAACGACCAGCTGTGCGGTGGCAAATCCCGCTGAGAATTGTAAGGGTATTTTAGATATTCGTAGTAAACATCACATAAAATAACTTATAATTCGAGTTTAATTATGTTTATACCAGGGTAATTGGACGAGCGAGCTCCTCAGCAGACTCATCTTACAGGTCTTCCCGTGCCCGTTCATTTGGGGGCCTGTCCCTCGGCCACCTGTGGCATGTGCCCTTGGCACTATTGCACGCCACTTCCTTTAGTGGAGCTAAAAAGTCTATACCTAGCGAGACTCTATGAGTTTGGCCCTGTGCCTCTTCTCACTCGATTCTCTCGTCTCGCTAGGTAGGTTTGTTAGTTTCCTTGTGAATTAGTCCTTCTCACTCGATTCTCTCGTCTCGCTAGATAATACTCTATTATTTGCGCACCCGCCCTATTATTTCACCCTCCCAGTGTCGCGTTGTACGATACATACGAAGTTTTGTTTGGAGCTGTTTGTTCTCCGAATCCATGGGGCCTTACTGCCCTTGTGGCGAGGCCCTGTTTTTGCTGGCTAAATCCTTGTCGTCTGCATCACAACGAGACTGAGCAAGGACAATTAGAACAGTACAAATACATATTTATATAATCAAATCAAATTAAAATTAAACTACCATTAAAAGAGTAAGGACAAACACGCAAATTTGGCCAAGAAGATGCATTTCATGTGAAAAGATGTAGGAGTATAAGGAAATCAATAAACTTGTGGTCTTTTTCTGGTGCTGACCATCTCTGCTGTTTCGAAGGTCATGTGACACTTCGAAGCCCTATCAATTAGACCTTTGAAGTTTGCGCAGGAGTCACTTCCGCACACCTAACCTATTGATAGGGACCCGTATCGCGACTGGTTCTAGGGATAACACTGTCTGACTGTGGGATGCATCTACGGGGGAGCCAGTTAGTGAGCCTACAAATACACCAATTCCATTATCTCAGTCTCGCTATCGCCAGATGGGACCCGCTTCACCACTGGTTCGACAGATGGCACTGTCCAGCTGTTAGATGCAGCGACAGGTCGTGCAGTTGGTGAGCCCTTATTGGGGCACACTGGGTATATCTGGTCAGTCTCGTTCTCTCCGGATGGGACTTGCATCGCAGCTGGTTCTGCAGATAAGACTGTCCAGCTGTGGGATGGGGAAAAGAGTGGGTGAACCTTTCCTCTGGCACACTGGTGAGGTTAACTCAGTCTCGTTCTCTCCGGACGGGAATTGCACCGTTTCTGGTTCGCACGATAAGACAGTCTGGTTGTGAGATGCAGGAACAGGGAAGCCTGTTGGTGAGCCCTTGGAGGGGCACATTGGTTTGGTTTGGTCAGGGCAGCCAGTTGGTCAGCCCTTGTGTGGGCACACTGCAGGGGTTATCTCGGTCTCATTCTTGCGGGATGGGACTTGCATCATTTCCTCTTCATCAGATGGAACTGTCCGAGTGTGGTATGCAGCGATTGGGAAGTAACTGCAGGACCATACCGAAGGAGACTGTTTACCATCCTCCCCGCATGACAATTGCATCCCACATCCAACACCAGCCATCCCCACGTTCAACACTGCGAACGATGCCTTCATTTCCTTCTAATCAAACTCGACTCATGCACTGCACAACACTGCTGAGCTACTCGCAGGTGCCCCCCCCCCCCCCCCCCATAATGACCCCAGGTTGATATTCAATTTTCTGGAGGCAGATGGATGGATGGTAGGACCTAATCGTCGGCTCTTATTCTGGGTACAACCTGCTTCTCAAAAGGCATTCAGATGTAATCCTCGGACTGCATTTGTGATACCCAGAGGCATTGAGCTTGATTTAAGTCGCATGGCACATGGGACACACTGGCCGGACTGCTACAAGGAGTGAGTCTCTAGCGTTGGATTTGAGTTCCGGGTGGTTTGAGCGAATGGTGTGTTAGAAAGATGATTGGATGTCAGATTTTCGAGCGCATAGAATATTATAGAGCAACGAAAAAAGTCATCTGAGAAAATGATAGGACATGTGCAGTTGGCCTGGTGAATGCACATGAGTAAAGGATCGAGTTTGGAAAAGCATTGATATTCGCGAGCTGGCACTGAGTCTGAGAGGCCAAGGCCCAGGATCACATTGATTCAAGTTATACAGACTCAAGAGATTCACTTGCAACGAGATGAAAAACAATGCGTCATAAGTACTTCGGTTATATTTTATGCCTTCAATGCTTGAGCAGAGTGAAATTTGTTCACGGGGACAGCCGAGCACTGAGCCTCTTATCAACGAACTGCTTACATGTTTAAATCATATCGTCAACCATACTGCACCAAGGTGAGAACGGAAACACGACTCACTGTAGCTCAGCGGTTCACCCATCATTAATGCCCACTCTAAGTTTATGATCCATACAGATGCGGTCTACCATGCCGATAATCCACGGGAGATGTGATATGAGTGTACGAGGTATCTGCGCACTGTTGGGTTTGGGGTAAACAGAGCGCCATGGGTTGGACCTGCCGGAGATAGATCAAATGTGAATTAGCTATAGTTGACCAGATCAAAAGCTCACTTTTTCACCCTCATTTACTCGTTCGCTCAACGTCCAGAGAGTCGGGATCGATATAGTGACAGTCCTCGTGCTGGCAATTTCAACATCAGAGATGTGCTAACCTGGCCATATGCGCTAACATAGGACAGCTCACAGTTAATATCAGCATCTGAGGTCCAATTTGAACATGATGATACTGTAGTAATTGTACTGTTCAGACTGCGGGCCTTACTGAATGATGGTGTGATAGGTTACAAGCATTGTTCATACCAAGCGAAAGGGGCATTGTGAAAATGCTGCGCCACTGCTGCGACTGCTGCGCGGCAACTGCCGCCACCACTGCTGCGATGTTCCCAAATGGTGAGTGCGCATTAACTACACTTACTTACTGCTAATCACTGGAACCTCCCAGTACTTGTCCTCCGAACGAGCTATGGACTCGAGGGTGCTCCGATTCCTTATATCCACGCTCCCAGAGCCACGGTCAGGCGATATCATCGAGATTCGCAGTACTCCCGGTCTGCAAGTCCGAGTCATGTCTCTCTAACAACTATCTTTCATATTGCATTGTAGTCTGATTCCTCCACATACAATGTTATTTTTATTTCTTTTTAATGAACGACTGTGTAGTTGCGGGCATTTGTCTCAAGCCTGACACAGTCATTGGCACCTTTCTTCGCGTTCTCGGTCCTCCATGGCATTTTGTTACCTGTTGCTCCTGAGCGCTGAGCGCTGAGGTCCAGTCAGTCCAGTGACACATGTGTACAGCCCCACAGCTTGGGTATGTACATGAGGATTAGCAGCTGAGCATGCTAACTTTTCGTTAGGTGTAGTATACGAGTAGGGCGGGCATGGTCACGATTGTCATTGTGTTTGTAACATATGCCACCATGACATTAGTATAGGATGTATATGACTTTTCCGGGCATTCCTGATGAACAAGTTTTCTTCAGCGTGCAGTTGACTGATGAGTGTGAATTTGCATGTGGCAGGACGTGTGATGGTTTGGCAAGTTGGCTCATCAGAAACAATGATTCCGAGTCCAAGACACTTACTAGTACACCATGTTCGAAAACCATCTTGCCAGTTCTCACTGGCAGCATCATCACTCCGTCCCTTATCGCCTCCTCGATTCCTGTTGACACAAGTTGCTCAAGCCACCAATAGCAGAAAGTCAGCTTGAGTTGGAATTGAATGTGAGGTACTGACAAGTGTCGCAGCACCTTGTCACGGGCGTTGCGGTCGTTGCGGGCGTCATGGGCACCTTATTTCCTTATTTGGGGGGGTGCTGCGATATGGTGCCCGCAACGACTGCGACGCCCGCGACATGGTGCTGCGACACTACTGAAAATGAACTCGAGTTGTGTAATACATGGTCCTTCAGCAGTTATGTTGTGCATCATAGTATTCCAGACTCGCGCATTAGAATACATACTTCAGTGGTGGATTTGCGTATCATTTCAGAAACCAGAATGCACAAGTCTGAAATATGGGACTTGGAAGTTGGAAGTTGGAACACACTATATAGATTAACACAGTTCAAGACATGTGCCGGGACATAAGATTTCGAAGGGATAACGAAGAAGTTGATAAAGCGGCAAGAGAGTCAGTAATAACCAAGTGACTTTATATTAATCATGCAAAATCCTTCAAGGCAGCGATGCAGAGTTCAGGGTATGATATGGCAAGCAACAAGCAAGTGTCGTGAGTCAATTTACTGCTTAGCGAACGTCGCGGCAGATGCCGCGCAGCAGTCGCAGCAGTGGCGCAGCATTTTCCTAGTGCCCAAGCGAAAGCGACTCTTCCTTCAAAGGAAGTTGCTTGTTAACATGTACGGAAAAACAGCCTGAGGGTTTGAATGATTCTTAGTGGATGTAAAACTAGGCAGCATGAAGATAATATCCAGGAGGTCCGGTGTGAGGTCATGGCCTGTACATGACGATTGTTCAATACAAGTTGAATGACTAGAATTACATAAACATATGTCACTTAATTGCAGCCGATTGCTACGTTAAACGATTCGAATTGGCGCCTGCGTGAATTTGCTTTATAACTCTAGTGTTCATTGTTCAACAAGATGTCGGACCCGGTCGCTTCCAAGTCTGGCTTCCTATGCATGTATGAAGAACCATCCTGATACATTGGTTGCATATGTCAAATATTTCGGGAAAGTTGAGGGCAACGTGCTCACTGCTGAGTGCTGAGATGTCTAGCATTGACAAATTGACCAGGGTATGACGCCTGTGTATAAACTCAAGTCCGGACAATCGAATACCAGCCGGGTGTCATTTGACCCACCGCTTTCGGGGTATGAAGAAGTCAAACCCCAGCTTTTGAGTATGAAGGCGGAGGCTCAGGAAGGTCTCGGTATGGTGCGTTTTGACAACCTTTGCTTCCAGTTCGTCATGTCTCTGACAGCCATATGTCTATGCACTACAGCTCAAAGCTCCCCAAATAACCGCACTCCGGATTCCTTGCACAGGTGTATTCGCAGGAATCCTTTTGTTCGCATACTTCTATTTTCTTTCGCCACCAGCGCCTGATACTACATTCCTCTCTGTACCTGTCACCACTGTGGATGCATTCTTCTCCCCAGCGCATGTGTTTAGAAATACCACTTGTACATGTGCTTATACGTGACATTGATGTACTTTGATGTTTAGGCATCCAACTTGGGCCTATAGTTGCAACAATTTGAATATTTGTTTTTAGGATTCTCAACGGGCTTCAATCAAATCCGTGCATCACACCAGAACGATCTTGGCTTTCGGGAAGAGCTGTTTTCCCATTCATTTGTCAGGGGACTATCAACGACATATTGTCCACATGCCCTGGTACCAACCACTGGGAACGTAGATGTGAGACCATAAAAATTGATCTGGCAAGTCGTTCACATTTCTCGACTTAATCTTGAGGACATGCATATGATGAGAAAGGGATATTCTGTCTAACAACGATATATCTCGCTGGCACCATATCTCATCACAGCATTGTAATGATCACTGATAAAGCCAAGGAGAAATGGGACATACAATAGTTCTCTTTATTTTCTACACTGGCAAAAATAACTATACGAAAATATGGTACGACAGCGAAGCCCCAAGCGAGGTCGAGTGAGGAACAATTTTATTTTTCTGGGTGGGTAAGCTCAAGACCGGAGACACGCTATGATATAAATTGTCTTCAGAAGAACACAAAAAGAAGATAAAACTCAGCGGGTTTCAGATTGGCGTGCTATCCAGTGGGGGGGATCTGTGACAGCGATCCTAAAGCTTGAATGTTACCAGCAGGAATGAAGATAACACCAGATGCAGACTTACAGACAAGGCCTTCCTACTATCATCCGCCAGACATCACCATTTTGTGAAACCTTTTCGTGATAATATAAAAGCAAGTTATCTTCCTGCCGTCACCCAACTCAAAAAAATCATTCGAGCACCTCAGCAAATCATAACAGCTCAAACAATCAACGTGTTTCTTCCTCCTTGTCTTCATTGCTGCATTGATAGCATCTATAATGTATGTCACAGCAAGGCAACCAACCTGTAATAGAGTTCAAGAGGTGTGTCAAACACCTAGCGACTGTTGCAACAACAGAGATTCCTGCAGTGTTATAAGCCAATTTACACATAGCAACATCCTAGTGAGTTTCTGCTTTCCGATTGGTGCTGTTGTTGATCGAGCAATATGCAGATCAAGAAATGAATAGAGATGATATTTGGTGAAAGGAAGGACATCATATGAGTGTATGACATACCTGCGTACTGTTTGGTCACATAGTGAACAGAACAAACTCTAAGCATCAATTTTAACAGGAGCGCAAACTGTTTGTCATGGGAACCTGAGTTTGGGGAGACATTCTCGTTATGAGTACAGGATAACACGCACTAATTGTACCGCATTGTATATCGAGAACATAAATCTAGCTCGTTTTGAATGAGAACTTATTCCAAAGATGAACCAACAATTGGTCCTTGAAGCGATAGCAAAGAGTGCGAGATGAGCCCGAGTCTGGCTTCCGGGATGGTTGGATAGATAAATGAGGTATATACTCAGGCCTAGAATGTCATCCGCATTGGCATTGTCATCACGATCCAGCTGCGATACCACCATATGCCCTGACAAAGAATGCTTATGACTGATGCACGAGAAAATAAACTATCATTATTTGGATGCTGGAGGTACACCATGGGACATGTCGGAGAGACCTAGGTGAGCAACATAGCGATGCCAAGTTTTGAAAAACTCATACTGCAGGTTGTTATGAAACTCACTGTAATAGACGAGTGACAGACAGTGAGAACTGAAATGTGTTGTAATTGAGGTCGACCATTTTTGAAGCACAACAGCATGCGCTGATATTAGGATATACTGAGGCAGCACATTGAACGACGCGGCTCGACGTCTCGAAGTCCAACGTGCGAAATCATGGATAATGTATTCCCATGGATATTCCTCACCGAAAACACATACCCAAGAGTACCGGACATGTTCGAGTAAGTGCCTATGCTTGATGAACATGCACGGCCTTCCAAATATGGATTATGATGCACTGCGCACCTCTTGCATAAATCAGTACGACGGAATCTTCTTTCAGTATTCTGATACTCACCAGAAGCCCTGCTATTTCATGATGTACGATGCATTGATGAATGTAAGCACTGGAAATAAGTAGCATCCCCACATTCGCATTGTTGAAACTCTGCGTCGAACGACATACCTGCAGTCCAATATCATTTAATCTTCTCTCATTTGCTTGTTCTCCACGGCAACATACACTTGTTTGCTAAAAACGAGAAAAATAAAATGGAAATGAGTGAGGCTAGCATAAAAGCAAGTCCTACCGTCATCAGCGCGGCAGCGCCCACCTAACTCAAAAAAATCATTCGAGCACTTCATGGTAGTGTGTGCGTAGCTCCCGACAATAGTGTTCCACAATGAGAACGAGCCAATTTTCACGGAGTAACACCCTAGTGAGTGTTTCTGCTTTCCTATCGGTGTTGTTGATCGAGCGATGGATAGAACACTGTTGATTGAAAAATTAATAAAGGCGATGTTAGGTGGAAGGAGGACATGATATGGGTGTATGAGGTATCTGTGTACTGTTTGGTCTTGTGGTAGACAGAAGCAGCAACGAGCAACGATTTCAAAAAAAACGCAGGCTATTTGCTATGGAAACCTAGGTTTGGGGGAGAAGCTCATCATAAATATTATTACGAGACACCACGCGCTAATTGTACCACATACAAAGAACAGAAATATAGCTCATTTTTGAACAAGAACTCTTTCCAAAGATGAATCAACTGTCAGTTCTTGAAACAGTAGTGAAGAGCGTGAGATGAGTCCGAGTCTGGCATTCGGGATGGGTGAATTAATGAGATATACCCAGAACCAGAACTCATCCTCATGGGCATTGTCATCCGCAAACCAGGTGCCATGCCACTGTGTGGGGTACACACTGACGAAGAATGCTGATGTTGAATCATATTGATGAAGGAGGGCGATGAAAAAAAAACATGCCTAGTTACTCTAATGTCCCGTTGAAACACCGGACACGAAAAAATGATCACTGGTAAAGCCAAGGAGGGACGAGACATATGGTAGTTTGCTTTATTCTCTGCACTGGCAAACACGAGTTTGGAATCTGGATAGATATCACACGACAGCGAGGTTGAGGCAAGGTCGAATGAGGCACAATTTTATTTTTCTGGATGGGCAATAGGGCGCTCAAGGTCAAGACCGGAGAGCACGCTATTATAAATTGGGCTCATTAGGACAGAAAAAGAAAAGCGAACTTGATGGTTTCCAGTTGCAGTGCTATCCAACAGAGCTGACTTGTGAGAGAGGTTCAAAAGTTTCAAGGTTACCAGCAGGAATGAAGATAAAGCCAGATGCAGACTTACAGACGGGGATGCTAAGTTTGGCAGGTGGTTCCATTTGATGTGTGTGACCTGAGTAACAGTACAAGCCTGTTTGACAATGGTCGCAGGGGTCGTGTGTCAATGAGATTGAATGGAAAGAGGAAGGAGATGCACGTGTACGTTGTTGGTCGATGAGAAATTTGTAGTTTACATAGGGCCTTAGGATTTTGCCGCATCACTGCCACATCCATGCCGCACCCTACACAACAAGTGTCTTATATGTGTATATAATATGTCTACGTCGTCCACAAAGGTCTTAAATATGATTTATGATTAAGAGATACCATAGTACATGTTTTTGTGTAAGAATTATCGTGGTATCATAGTGAATATAGTACTTCATGGGTGCGGTAGTGATGCGGTAGGGTGCAGCAATTCTGAGATTTTGTGGCTGTGTGGTGCGGCAATACTGAGATTTTGTGGCTGTGGGATGCGGCAATTCTGAGATTTTGTGGCTATGCACTACCGCACCGCACCAACGCATCCTTCTTACCAAGTATACTGCGACTGCCATAGACGCTCCTCCCAAGTTCGACGAGTGGGCTCTCAGTGGTCTGACCAAGGACAAATACGTACATGTGCACCCTCATCATACAATATACGGACTAACAACCATGCATCTCACATATGAATCAATGCACCCAGTCACAGGCGAGCACAACAGCATGCTCATCCTCCGCACATCAAGTACTTCCATTCACCTTCCTTGGCCGTGGCTGGGGCCGTGGTTTGGGCTTTTTGGTATGTTTCTCTTTCTCAACAACTTTGGGCTCACTTCCTTCACTAAAGTTCGGCCCACACTGTTGGTTGGCACTGTTTTAATGCAACCTCCCACTGTGAATATGAAAATGACGCACATCCAGTTCTCCTTCAAATTCTGGTGCATACGGATCTCGGTCACCATGATTCCAGTGCTTGGGGAGACCCTCATATGGATTCCATCGGTCTTGGTGCGTGCCACTGAGTCGTATATAACAGATTGTAACTAGCAGGTGCCTGTCGAGAGTGACAGGTCATTGTAAAGTGGGTGCTCTAGAATCTATAGTCTGGACTCTGAATGTCATCGTCTCGTACTATATTACTAGGACTCACTGCTGCCGCGCCCACTACCGCATCCGTGCCGCAACACGCCCAACACGTCCTCTAAATTCAACCTCTCAAAGGCATATCCGAGAGGCGCATAGTTGATGAGTTCGACGAGTAATGCTGCTAGGTCAATTAGCTTGTGTATGATTAGAGTAGTTGTCGGAAATGAGCATTGAATGTTGGTTTCGGTGTGGTGCATTAGTGTTGCGGCAAGTTGCGGCAGTGATGTGGCAAAATACCTGAGCCCGTTTAGTACTATGTTGGAATATGCTGAATAATGTAAACTTCGTGTCATTTTGCAAATCGTCGTTGTGCATTGCACTAGCATCGTCGGCGTCGACGTCGTATCACACCAACTTCGTATGTTTTTGTAGAACATTGTATAGCATCACACCGACATCGTGTCATATCACACCGACATCGCATTACATCGCGCGAAGAATGCACTACATTGCATCCGACTCATGCAAATACAACTCCTATGACAAGTATGTACTATTCACGCATCCACTTTTACCAAACTGATCAACTACTCTAGAATGTTTCCCAACTCGAGTTCAGACAGGCAGCTCTATGTCTGTGTTTGCAGCAAGCACAATCTCGGGCAACCTCACCAAGTTTCGAAATCCACCTGGCACAGACATTTAGAAGCTGCTACTACGGAACAGGAACGAGAGAGGATATGATCTGGTAGAGCACTACAGGGACATAGTATTCCACTGGAAACAAATGTCGGGGCTGCAGGCAACACTGCACCTGCCGGCAACTCAGATAGAATGTCCTTGCCTCCAAGTGCTCGTCGTGTGGCCGCACTTCGAGATCTTGTCAAACAAGCTAGGGACAAGGAAGATTCTAGACGCACTGCTCAGCGTGACAAACGCGCACGAGTTGGGCATCAAGATGTTCAAGAGGTATCTGTATATCTATTAGTATCTTTGACTCGGATGGAGTGCTAACTCTTTGATTTTCAGCGAAATAATTCCCCAGATCCGCTGCAGCCTCCTGACCCAGACGAGCCTCCACACCCAGATAAACCCCCAGATCCACCGCAGCCTCCTGACCCTGACAAACCTCCGCACCCAGACGCACCCCCAGATCCACCGCAGCCTCCTGACCCAGACGAACCAAATCAGCAAGGGTAAGATGCATCCAAGTCAGACTAGAAATGGACAGTACGTGGATCCTTCAAATTGCACTAATCACACTACTTACGAGTTTCTAGTAATCTATGTGCGCATCGTTGGCTCAAGCAAGTCGAGAGCAACAAGACAACAGAAGAATTTTGTGTTTATTACGGGGATCTCTCTGCGGACCAGCGCAAGGTAAGTCATTTTGTCGCTGTATATACATGCTTATGATATTCATGGTGAATTTCAGGAATACGATAATGAGGCAGCAGAGCTAGTGAGTCGCATGTCTCTGTTGTGCCAGTTGTGTTTTTGACACAGCGTGCAGGTTGCCAACAACGCTTGGGACAAGACAGTCTACGAGGGCACATTGCATTAGACTTACCCCATTCCTCTCCATCACATGTTTCAGATTCAGTCTCATTAGACTTCCCCCGCTCTCCGCCGCATGTTTCAGATTCAGTCTCGTTAGACTTCCCCCGTTCACGGACTCTTTCCAACGCACTTTCGATACCTTCACGCACCCATTGTCGACATGTTTTCATAGCTGTTTGTTATTTTAGTGCTCCCAGTTGTACAATATTATCACATCCGATGCTACCTGCGCATATTTCGAGACGCGAATGAAAAGCATGCGATACACAATAAAATCATATTTGAGACTATTCGAGCACATTCTGATACAGCACCGAGATTGTTTGACTATATGCTACTACATGATTCTGATGTGTTTTCGCAAAAAAAAACATATGAGGGCATTAGGGATCTCGCGCCAACATATAGAAAATGTGCGGGTTGTCCCACTTTATAACCGGAATGTGCCCTGCTAGTATTTTCTTCACAATCACTTTCATCAACACATCCCAACACATACAGTCCTTTCCCATCATAACCAGTTCCTACTGGGAATCAGACCTCATAAGCATGGATCACATTACCCGCTGACTACTACTAGGCAATCCTTTGAATTACTGCTTTCCTGTCCTTTGCCTCACATCGTACTACTATACAATCAACGTCGACATTGTCAACATCTATTCGACTCTTTCTAGGTGTGGGTGCCGAGAATCGACCATACATCATACGTGCTTTGTCAACGAACAAGGTTCCGCGGAGATATATTCTTTGTGCTGCTTGCTTCATGCAATTCTCGAAAGTCACTAAAGTCGCCCCACCTTTGTGCGCTCGGCTACACTAGTACGTACCGTTTGACAACATATTTCTAAGAAACAAGTCAACGGTAAATGGACTGATGATCAAACACAGAGCAATTCGTTTCTTACCCCATCCGTGGTAGTTGATTCTTTTTGAATGGTACTACAATATGTGAACGTACTACTGCCACCTAGACCTGATAGGCAGTGGCAGCCTGATTGTGTCTTGGGTCAGTTTAGACTAGGCTGGAGATGTGCAAACCGCCTTAGACAATTTGAGCGACTTCAACCTTACTTTGGCGCCACAGTGATAGAGCTCCAGGTATACTCTTCAGCTAGCTCAGTTTCAGTAATGCTTTGTTTTGACTCCACTTATTTCCAGTGTTACTATCGCAAGCTATGATTGAGTTATGAAGCTGCAAACTCATCAGCAAGAGGGGATGACCGACAGCACAGGAAAAATTGAGATTGAGCGGGGCCGAGATATAATGACGTTGTCGACGGCAGTCCAGTGCAAGAAGCCTTCAAGTCGTGAATATTTTTCAACCACGACCCTACTAGTATGGTTCAACCACCGACTTTGCATGGAATTTCCTCCTCTTTTGCTTCAATCCTATGCACTCTCTCCCTAAGTTGTTTCTAGCGGCTCTCTCATTTACCATCCTGGTTGATGGTAGCCACCGCTGGTACTCGCATCATCGCCGCACTGCTGCTCACAAACAACTTATTGGCAAAACCTACATAATACAAGACTTTTATCGAGTGGGAGATTTCTTCAAGGACGTATCACTTATCTAGTTGCTACTTGTGTCTTGGCTAATCGTCTTCCGCCATCTAGTGACTGGATTTTCGCCATCGGCCCGAACCCGACTGGTGGAAATGTCATCTACCAAGGCCAGTCGGATGCGCAGGCTAAGAGACTTGCATATGTTGATGACTGCGACAACTCGTTTATCCTTGCAGTTGATTCAACCAGCACTGTTGCTGCCGGCGGTCAGCATGCCTCGTGCGTAATACCCCTGATTATTCTGATTTACGAGTATTTATTACGAATGCAGCGTTCGTATTACATCTCAGAAGAGCTACAATGGCGGTCTCTTCATCTTTGACGCTTCCTACATGCCTGTAGGTTGTTCTATGTGACCTAGTTCCTGGACCGTTGGGCCACACTGACCTATGGCAGGTGAAATCGATATTGTCGAGGGTGTGAATAATCAGGGCACAAACCAGATGACGCTTTATACCGGCACGAACCAAACTTGCACTAACGAAATGACAAATAGTACCTATCAGTTTTCAGGAAAAATCATAGCAACCGACCGTTACAGTACCACACACGCGGACTCAGGCTGCAGCATCGAAGACACTGACACAAGGTTTGTATCGTACTTATGTGTTTCTTGTGCGCCGATCGTGACCTGATGTTTCTGCGTAACAGCTCTTTTGCGTATGGTTTCAACAATGCAGAAGGTGGTGTCTTTGCACTTCTGTGGGACAATTCCCCTGGCATGTCAATATGGCATTTCGCTCGGGCTTTAATTACATGGCCGTCTACCAATAGTATTTGCCTCAATTCCTCATCTTATCTACATCTGTGAGCATTCAGATCCTGTTGACAATGAAGCAGACTGATTCGTTGCACGCCAGAGGTCACGGAGGCGCGGAAGCACGCCAGGAGCCATCCATCAACTTGCAGTGTGTAGCCTTACTCTACTGGTTAAATAGCCACACGTTACAATGGTGGAGTTAAGCCGTCCAACATTCACACTACTAGTAGTGGGCCTTCTCAGACAACTGTGAGATACATTCGCGAGCAATTGTTGCAGATAGGGTCATCGAAATCCAGGGTCAATGGCTTACACTTGAAGTTAACTTCCTGTGTACCAATGTCTCTTTCGTACGTCTCTGTTCCGCAATGAACAATGTACACGAGATGGTTTAAAGAAGTAGAACAGATGATAATTTTACGCCCAGAGTATTACGCGTTCTCTGGAGAGCAATTTCCGAGAATTGCCAGGGTGGACCGTGTGTTGAATACTTCCGAATCTCTAAATACTAACTTGGACAGTGGAAGTCTATTCTTAGCTTGAAATTTTCCAGACGCTTCGGTTTTCAGCATTAAAGCATGCTATGATAAAGCACATAGTATATGCACACATATGATGCGTTTCACTTTCTGACTACTGATTTACGCCATTTCCAGTGCACGCTTTGTCAACGAAGACGTCGGCAAGAGAGATCAGTCTTGGAATATAATGTACGAAGTGATGATTGGATTGAGGACAAAAGGATCATCTTTAGCGTAATTAGCAACATGATGATAAGGTCGCCGAATGTGGCCGGCCGAGTAGAGTCATGCAGTGCCATGGCAGCCCACAGCAACGAGGTTCGTAAAACTGTTGCTTTTGATGCTTTAAATCCCTTGAACGTTCCTTCAGCATTTCTTTGTTCCACTTTCCACGTCCTTCTCTTTAAATTTCCTTTCGTTTAATCCTTTGGACAACTGCTTTCCCTTACTTTCTTTTGCCTCACGATGTACACACTCTGTAAGCTCTTTCTAGCCGCTCTTTCATTGACCACCCTGGTTGGTGCTCACCATCCGTCACATGCACACTCGCGTCACGGCCGTACTGCTGGCCATAGACAGTCTACCAACAAAATTTACACATTTCAAGACTTTTATCAGGGGGAGGATTTCATCAAGTACGTACCGCTTGTCATACTATACGCAATTTCAACGCGGCTAATTAACCATCTAGTGATTGGGACTTTTTCACAGGTTCGGACCCCACCAGTGGCAATGTCAACTACCAAAGCAAATTGGAGGCACAGTCCAAGGGACTTGCATACGTCAATGACTGTGATAATTCCACAGTTCTTGCAGTAGATTCAACCAGTGCCGTTGCTCCCGGCAGCAATCGTGACTCGTGCGTAATGCTCGTGTTTATTATGATTTATGAGTACCCATCATGAATTGTAGTGCCCATATCACATCTCAGAAGAGCTATAATGGCGGTCTTTTTGTCATTGACACCTCAAACATGCCTGTCGGCTGCTCTACATGGCCCAGTTTCTGGATTGTTGGCCCGAACTGATCCTCAGCGGGTGAAATCAACATTGTCGAGGGCGTGAATAACCAGGTGACAAACCAAATGACTCTTCATAGTGGCACGAGCCAAAGTTGTACTATCGCAAAGTCAGGTGTTAGTGCCGATCTGTCTACTGGCCAGGTCCTCGGGACTGACTGTTACAGTACCGGTAATGCGGATGCAGGCTGCAGCGTTGAGGACGCGGACACAAAGTTTGTATTGCATCTCTTTCTCATGCGTCAGCTGGGATCTAATGTGTCCTTATGGCAGTTCTTTTGGATATGGCTTCAACAATGCAGGGGGCGGTGTCATTGCGCTTCTGTGGGACACCTCTTCTGGCATGTCAGTGTGGCACTTTGCTCATTCTGAAATCCCTGTGGATCTTACGGCGCAAACGCCCAACCCTTCTACTTGGGGCACTCCAGCTGGTTTCTGGTTTGCACAGAGTTGTGACATTTCAGCCAATTTCTACGACCACCAGATGACAGAGTACAACAATCCTAGCTTTTTTCCTGGTCGGTATCCCACTCTTTTTCCTTATGAACTTGGGGGCTTTGAAATCCAGTCTCGACGAACTGCGTTGGCATTCAAGAAACAAGCCAAGTACTTCTTATGTGCGTCTGACCGTGCTTTTCATTACTATAACAGTTTCATATTCATCCTGCTGAACATATTGCAGCGTCGACAGGCTCATATCCAGACCTATTTCACCGTGGGCAAATCAAACTTTGATAGTGTTGCTCGTAAACTCACGACTGTGTCACCAGTACTACTCAAGCGTTTGGCTGTTAAGCTGGAACAGGAACAAAAATTGGTTAGCCCCCTACCCATGAAAAGCGTAATGCCCTGCAACTTTTGTAGCCAGTGAACACAATGTCTGCTCGCATTCCAGGGTCGCAGGCCTCGAAAGTATTCGTGAGGAATCAAGAACACCTTTGAGACTCGACTTGGTGTCACTCTCCATAGGCATACATTGTAAAACACATGTGTTGGTTGAACACACAAATGATGAACGGGTGACAGAGCTGTCAAGCGTGTGCCTTGTGTGATTGGCATGTCTATTCTGAGCACAACTAATGTGAGGTTGTGGGCCATATTTGCCCTTGCACATTTTAAGGCCTTCAGCGTGTCAACTGATCTCTTGGGTGTAGATGAAGATCCGATTGAATTCTACGCACGTTTTGCATTCTGCTCAAGGAGTCTAGAGGTGATGAAGAATTGGGAGGTTGTTTATGAATGCAAGGATGAGCGCGATGCAGATAGACTTCATAAACACGCACGGCTCACCACTGGTGAGAACTGACTGCTTCCATTTATAACAATGTCACATACATGTTACATAATCATCTTCTTTTCCTTCAACTTTTGTCATCATCAAACACTTAGTGTTTGAGTTTCGCTCCCGGCACGCGGTTGAATGCCCAGTATTTGGCTCAATGGATTTTCTTAAAGGAATCAAACGAAGGCCTCCTGCCCGCAAACCTCGCCAGCACCTGGCAGTCATGTCTGCTCCTAGGCCGCCTAGATCACCCATCCCGGGTAAGCTCACAGCTTCTGTCAGTCTCAGGTCTGACACTCCATTACTCAGATGAGTCGGAATACTTTGATAGCGAGGACTCCGACGAGGACATGACGCCCACCTCCAATTTTGAAGCTGCTGGCCGATGGATCAATCAAGGGCTGAAGTTCCTGGACCAGCGACCGCTCCCAAATGATCTGCACCAGCTTTGCATTGGTGTTACCACCGTGCCAGCCAACATTCTAACACGTCTCCTACCATCTGACAACATATCTGTAACAGATCTAATCAAATTTCGCCTCCCCAAAATTGGCCAATGGCCCTTTTCAGAGAAAATAATGTTTCAAGAAGACCCGCCTAGAGGCAAGTTGTTTATTCGATCAGAAATACCTCCCGAGCCATACATTGAGGAGCTCCGCAAGAAGTTCGGTCAAGCGATGTTGGACGGGAAGATCTCCATGCGCGATCCTCGCACCCCTGATGCCAGACTACCTCTGTGGGTGATTGAGTTCTGGTGGGCGTTGCACTGCGCATACAATAGCAGGAGAGAATGGTCGGAGGGAATGGATTGGATACGGGAGAAACAGGAAGGGGGTCACCATCATCGGGTCTTTCGTGATGTAAAGCAGCAGCTGGCCATTCTGCCTTGGAATAAGTCGCTAAACGGCCCAGCCGCGGCCATTGGCAGAACAACCAAACAACTTCTTCAGTTTCTATTCGATGATGAGTGGTTGTCAGGCAGTCTTGTTGATATGATGGCAGCCTATCTGGTCTCTCAGTTGTCTATGAAATGACATAATGCCATCATTGCCGATACCGGTTTCGGCGATGCCATCTGCAGCGCTAACGATATCTCATATCATAACCGGCTGCATCGCCAACTACAGAAATTCGAACAGAGTGCGATGACGCATAGACGTCTTTATGCTCCAGTGTATACGAAGGACCATTTCGTTGCGTTTGAAATTGACTTTCAAACAAAATCTTTCAGATGGGGTGAGTACTTCCGGCATCAACTTTCCTTTCAATGCAAGGCTCAATCTGCGCAGGGGATTCTCTGAATTCCAAACAGCACGCGCTAGAGCACTTTGTTGAGAAACTCCAATGGTGGTTCCGTGCGTGCTTCAGTGGAGAATTTCGCAATGATGGACCTAACTTACCCCATGACCATCAAAAGGATCGTACTTCATGCGCACTATTTGCAATCAACACCATTGAACACAATGTCTTTGGAAATACACTTGGCGTCGCTCACCCTGCCCGCGAGCGAGCCAGGTGGTTCTTTTTGACAGCAGAGAGTCAGATTAATGGATCTGCAGAACCATCGCACACCAACCATCCCAATACTAACGCCTTGCTGTTGGGTGAACGTGCCTTCCATGGACATGCTGGACCATCACACGCCAACCATCCCAATACCAATGCCTTGCCATTGGGTGAACGCGCGCTGAAGCTGCAGGCAGAGGAACGCACATGTATCCAGGAAAAAGCTACAATATTTTTAGAGAAAAAAAAGCAGGAAAAGGTGCAGCAGGAACTGGCGGAGACAGAAAGGATTGATTGCGAACAGATTGCTCATGGGAAGGTAGAGACGATCAGGATGGAACTCAGCAGGCTCGAGCGCGAGTCTCACGAGAGGGCCCGGCAAGAGAAGGAAGGGTTGGAAATGTTCCACCAGGACCCTTGGGCGCATGTGAATAATGATATTGAAGATATTCAGATGCGCGATGTGGACGCGTGCGTTACTAGTATCATACCGCCTGACCAGTTCATGAGGCTCAAACCTGCTGAGGAGCTAAACTACCCCCGTGCGTTTATAACCATTTGTTGTATGCGACCTTCCTAACCCAAGGACTCCCATCCTCAGCTCCTGCCCCTTCATCACTTGTTCCTGTGGCCTCATCGCGAGCATCGCCTCTTACAAGCGCATCATTTGCGGGCTTTAACCGGATGAACCACCCCCCCGCTGACACAACAAAAACTCGCTGGTTCATGGAGCGCCTGGGGCAGTTTGACATCCCGGATAGTGTTGACTTAAAGTTCATCAAGCATCCCGACTATCCTTCCTTGCGTGTCGTCTCTCACGGTCGATTAGTAGTTTTGAAGCGGACTGAAGTCAGACTACGTTTGTGGAGAGCCCAATATCCGGATGTACCGCTCTGGTATCTAGGCATTCATTGTCTGTCCAGAGGACTTGATTGGCAGGTGTTCGCTCCTGTTTCTAGGCCAGTTGCCTTCGTATCTCGCCCCGCCCATCTCAACGTCCGGCATGCACCGCTGTATTGGAAAGGGGACGTCTTTCATGAATATCACACTTGGATCTGGGCCATGCTTAATCTTCCGTTCGCACATCGTTTCCTTAGCATGGGTGGCATTGCCTGGCGCATTGCATTGCACTATGGGCCTGAAAGTCTGTTTGCCGCCACCCTGTCGGGCCCGTCCACTGACGCTTGCCTGCACGGTCATGTACATCGCATTGGTGGAGACATCGACGACATGGTGACTGACCACGATGTAGCTCTTCTCTTAGGCGCCACTGACGACACTAGTTTATGGCCTCCTGTAGATATATTTGAAAGGTACGAGAAGTGGCAAGGGGAGTGGTCTCATGAGTGGGAGGCCTGGTTCCAAAAACGTCTTCAGGGAATCCGAAGTGGCGACAAGGATCTTTTCCTAACCCGTAAAAGGTGGATCAAACACCGTCGTCGATATACTGCAAGGGAGTACGATGATCCTGCACTTGTCGGATCTGAAGGTCATGCAGCAGGGTTGTGCGCTGAGGCTGATCGCCTATATCCTCCGATGGAATCATATGCAGCTTTAGTTTACTAGTAGAAGTGGCTTGCAATCACTAAGGATCGACTCAGACTCAGATCTTGAAAGTCGTTGAGTCGATGATGGCCCGCCAGGGTCCAGCTTGTTTCAGGAAGTGGACGCAATCCCACCATTGCTAATTCCCTTAAGGACTGATGTGCAGATGAGCTATATGAAAAACACCAAACTTTGACGCCGGCGATATCGAATCGGTCAAGTAGGTAGTGCCGAACCCAACAGATTCTTTGTCTGCACTACTTGGTCGATCGTGAAACCTGAACTCTCTATGCTTTTGCGATTGGCAATGGCAACTGTCTTCGATGGCCTCCCAGTCATCTACGATCCGAGTCACATTCGTACGTTATGCGAACTTAAGGCACGGCGACACCCACTAGCCAGCTGACATGCCATCGTGAGTCTCACTTACTTCTAGTCGGGCCGATTCCAACGTATTCGTTAATGGGGTGTTTTTCAGATACGATACAGCCATCTTCAACCGAAGCGAGTAAGATGCATTGCAAACACTACCCGAACACGAGCTGAATCGAGTCCGGGTCCTGAGGGAACTGAGGGAGGTCGTCATGCACGCGAGCCCGTCCGTTGTCATGTTAGCCGTCGATTAGAGTTTTCTTGCAGTCCCTAATGCGAGTATTTTCACCTCAATCGATCAGGATCGTTACCATATCTCTCTCAATTGTTCGGATCTCCCACCCCTGGCTCCCTCAGCCCCGCCGGTCCATCAAAGCCAAAGATGCGGTTGCGAGTCATCGGACCAAGCAGTGAGTTGCTGCCATGGCCTTGTGCTAACCAGTCTGCAATCCCCGTGCGATCTAGCTGACACGTTTTGTGGGACGATCGACAACATTCCTTACTCGATGCCCATACGGGGGTGGGTGGGATCGATACTCTCTGACTAGGGCTGATAGCAGTCGCCCGTCCTCTTATACAGCTCCGGGCTAGAAGGGCTACAGGGGAAAAGGTCGGCGATGGCTAGGAATTGGTTGCCAGCGGCTCAGAGGGCACGAAAGAAAAAGAGAGATTATATAAGGGACTGTATGAATTTAGCGCCCCCGCTCTCAAGGGAAATTAAATGCGGATGGGGGGGCTAAGGGGAGAGGGGGAGGGCTCGTTGAAACGCTATTGCGTCGCCTGCAGGTGTGCTTCAAGAAGCTATTGCAATGGCCACAGCGCTCGAAGAGCACACCAATTAACATGGGCTGGCTACCCCGCCTACACGTTCAACACCCCGCCGGATAGAAGGTAAAAGCAAATGAAATTTTGAGAAAAAAGACGCAGAACACTGAAAGAACTGGACGTGCAGTCGACGATAGTCGGGCATGCAACGTCCGAGTCAGTTCATAGTGTCCAGAGTCAATAATATGATCATGATAGACGACGCGCAGTCGACGATAGTCGACATACAGTGTCAACTTCATGTTTGGCGGCCTCGACGTCAAACGCTAAGTGTTCGACGACGATGAAAAGATCCATTCAGTTAAAAACGCTAGGCGTTCAACTGCTTGCCGGAGGCGAATCTCAAACGCTAAGCGTTTGTTGGTGATGTTGACGCTGAACTACACAATGGAGTGGAAGAATCATACCGTGGAAGACGAGCCATCTGGGAGATGCAAAGGAAGTCACTTGTGATAGGAGTGTGTTGTAAAGTGCCATATCCGCCACCAGGCTTGGTCGGTAGACATCCTTGGTTTCAGAGAAAAGAGACCTGGTTGACTGGCGATTGTGAGTAGCGTTGACGGTAATCGGCTTCAACCCGTGAAAGGAAACAACAGCGACAGCTCCTTGTGGTTCCTCTACGGCGCGCACGAACGAGGAGATACTCCTAAGAAGAACGTTCGGTGAAGGCTGAATGGAAATCAGAGCGAGACTCCAGTATTACACAAAGTGTGACTTACGAGGTGCCACACACGCAGGTCGACGAGCCGCAGTTGATAGAGAATGAAGGCCACTAAACCAATATCCGTATGCTCGTCCAGTATCACTTTGAAGGTGTCCTCGAGATGTCTTTCCACTGCAGGGACCTTCCTTGGAAGGGACATTGCCTGGGCAACACTGAAAGAACTGAAAGAACTGGACGTGCAGTTGACGATAGTCAGGCATGCAACGTCCGAGTCAAGTTCATTCAATGATATGATCATGGTACACGTGCAGTCGATGATAGTCGACATGCAACGTCAACTTCATGCTCGACGGTCTCGACGTCAAACGCTAAGCATTCGACGACGGTGAAAAGATCCATTCAGTTAAAAATGCTAGGCGTTCAACTGCTTGCCGGAGGCGAATCGCAAACACTAAGTGTTTGTTGGTGACGTTGACGCCGAACGCCAAGTGTTCGACGACGATGGAAGTTGAGAAGAAAAGACGAAGATTATATAATCTGGATGTGGTGTTACAATTGCCGCATATAATTGCGGACTTTGAAAGTTGATTTGTCAGCGCAGATTGAACAAAGCCGGCACGTCGGGCATGTTCCTCTTTCCCTGATCCGGCAGGTTCAGGAGGTTATCGATCTGGGTGGTCTAGCGCAGTGGCAGGAGTCCTGGCTCGAGTCGATAGAACCGTGGCGCGCTATAAAGGTCTGACCTGGAGTTTCCCTTGCAGTCTTGTGCTCGCTCCAACGTGGGTGCCCCAATTATTCCATCCAATTCAAAGTTGGAAAAGTAGATGTAAATGATGACAAGCAGTTTGTTAATTCAGGGACACGATCCTCGGATGTCCTGATGATATAATTGATTCATATTGAAATGCAATACCAGGCAAAGGGTGGTAATCTGTGGTAATACAAATTTTTCCGTGACACTTTGTCGTTGTATCAGGAGGGGATCCGATCCACTAGCCATTCCAGATATCCTCTCCTACGCAGAAGAAGCTGCACTTTTCGATATTCAATTCCCAATCTTGCATAAAGAAGTTCGCATTGATGTTAGTATGGAAAGAGAACAAGTTGGACCATTGCATGATTGACCATTCTCAATTGTGAAATTCAAGACATATGTACCCTGTGACAAATTGTGTTTTCATCCTAGTTCACGATTCTGTGATAGGTTATACATGTGTATTAGACATCCGTGCTCAGAGATTACGAATAAAGCTTTGACGCTGCTCACACAAACAAATCTGTTTGCCCCAACGTCTCCGATAGAACACCCATCACCTTCGCTTCAAACTCAAACACATCATCATCACGGTATGCCACAAGGTCCTGAGGCATCTCCCTCTGCACTCCGAGCGCCTTCTCGAGGTTTGTTGTGGCGAGCGCGAGAGCCGTTGTGCAATCAATAAATCCATTGGACGTTAGGAGGAACTAGGAATACGGTCAGGAAAAATAACATGAAAAGCAAGGGTTCGACTAAACGCACCCAAACGGCCTCGAAACATGTATTCCGGGCATTGTACTCATCAATAACTCCAATGGCTACATTGACGCCTGCCTTCAAAAGCACAGTGACCAGACTCTCCTGCATTATCGGCGGGCCAGCAAGTCTATATGATGGTCAGGTTAGCATCCTTGGTCACAAATGAGAGAGAAAAAAGAAGATAGGCTTAAGAAGAAAGGGCACAAGGACACTTACATCCTCCGCTGTTCCCAAGTCGACGGGAATGGCTTGCTCTGCATGACAATCCAATCACACCTGCCCTCACAATCTCGTGTGCAAGGAGATGAGCCTCAGTTGCCCCCGCGAAGGTCAAATGAAGCTCCCTCCCGGAATGAGCCTCGTACTCATCTTTGAGCCGAAGTAGCATCGCCATTATGTCTGCACTCTCAACGTCCACAATGAGCGTGGCTTTACCCTTAAGTCTAGATATCAGTGTTGATTCAATGCAGGAGAAGCACACTAAGCCAACCTTTCTAACCCTCCTGAGCACTTTATCTCTACCCTCCCTAAACAACATATTCCTAAGCGCCGCTATCTGTGTACTTACACCTATCCTTGAAGACATGCTTATGCCCACATGTAATGCGACTTCATCAACAACACTCGCATTTTCCACATTCGCATGCACAGCTCCAGGTGAGAATGCAGTAGATACGCCCTGCAGGAAGGTCCCAGAGGGCGCAGTGATGGCCGTTGTGACGCCACCGCAATAGGCTGGCCTGCAATCCAAAAGGTTAATTCAGAAATGCAGACCCAAGATGAAAAGAATACCCACAGCAAATTCTGACCACCAAACATGAGCCCATCTTGTGCTCTCATGATCATGTCGCCCAATATGAGTCGAGCCTCCACCTCTCACGTAAAGCCCCTTTTACGTTCCGAGGTTCAAGAGGGGGAACACCCTCATGCGCGACGGCTGCCACCTTCTCAGAATCGAAATCGGGCGTGTGTGGGGACGTGGTGGGCCCCTTGGCGACTGGGAAGGGAGAGCTGAGGGATACCATCAATGTAGACCTGAGTGGGCGTTGCAGCAAGTGAGAGTGGATGGGAGGACCAAATCACAGTATCTAGTTCCGATTAGACAATTAGACGGACGGATCTTTCATATATTCAGACTGCAAGCATAATGTACCGGCATCATATCCTGCAATCCAACCGAAACCTAAATTCTTCATCGAACTTATATAGTAGTCTCACATACCTGCTTTGAGCATTGCAATCTGATGGCCCATCCCCATGGCAGTAGCAGGAGTATACGTACCAGAGAGGAGCGCGAGTGCGGGGTCAAGGCCATAATAGTGCACTTGGGCGGCTTCGTTCAGGAGGTAGCAGGAGTTGACAACCGGGTGGTCAGACTGCAAGTACAAGTTAGTTGGAAGCAAGATCGAAGTTTCATGATGGAAGTGAGTGAAAACAACATGCGTTAAGGATAGAGCGAAAGATCAGTAAATCATGATCATTATGTAAAATATACATACGAGTTGCGTGGCTCCAGACACAGGTACATGTATAGAAGAGCACGTTGACATAGCATAAATAAAGAAGGAAGTGAGGTGAAGGAGGACATTTACCTTCATAACAACATTGATTCAATGCTCCGCCAGCACACACGGTGCGAACTCTGATCCTCGATATGCGTCGTGTTTCTTCCTTCATGCAAGATCAACCGCATCAGCAGATTTGCAGAAGTCAATCCATATATATGTACCGAAAGTTAAATGCAAAGAGTGCTATAGCAGGTATGCCTCCCTGGTGGAAAGGAATGCCATTAGAGGAAGTTATGAACGTCCTTAGAGCACATCGACAAGGGATTCCCATTGCAGGTCTTCAGGAAATGCCTTTCCCACGAGGTCGTCCCAGGAATTAGACTCTGCTTTGGCGCAGAAATTGTCTTGAGCGTCGCACAACTTTCGGGCACTGTCGTAGGCGGTGTGGAAATTCCACCCAGAGTCAAGGCGTGTCATGCCATAGACACGAGAGGGGTTTTCACCTTATGGGTGAGTGAGTGAGGATAACAATGGGGCATCTTCTGGGACATACCACATGCATGTCTGTCAGGTATTATCGAAAATGAGGAAGATTTGAAGGTGAATAAGAGAAGATGGAGGGAGTGAGACAATGGACTCCATGTGTCGCCAGCGGGGTGTGAGAGAGTGGTCAAAGTGAGAGCCATTGAGGGTGTAAGGAGGTTCAAGGAGCATGGAAGAAGGCGAATGTTCGGCTGTATGGAGGCTTCATTATGAACGCTTGGCCACCTAGTAGACAAGGTTTATGATTAGCAATTAGACAATGTCTGTATTGAGACAACTCTGACCGATATCATTTGCACTCCCAGGCAGAATTTGCGCGGTTGTGACACCTCCAGCTATGGCGAGTTCATACGATGCGTCATGGGTATTCAACCCGTCGATACTGCGCAACCAGGGCAAGATGGGGGGCCTTGTGAGAGTTTGTGTTGCGTGCGACTGCAGGGAATGGTACATTGCTATTGTAGAGTAGCAAATAAACACATCATTTAGCGCAGGCACGCTACCGACACCAATATGGGAATGTAAATCCACAATCCCAGGGGTCACCCACACTCCTTGAACATTGACACCCTCCAATTTGCTGTGTTTTAACTCAACCCCTGCTGAATCAAGGAAAGAGGAACATCCCCGATGGCTTTGATGAGACCATGGTGGATGAGGAGGTCACCATTGAGAACCTCGTGTCTGTCATTAGCAGCTGTCCAGATAGTCGCGTTGCGCACAAGAACGGGAGTCATGTTCTCGGAATCTGCGTAGCGGTCACTCTGGATGCGGTCGTGGAAATTGGGTGGAGGCCCAGGTTTGGAGCGTATTACAGTAGGCACATTTGAAGAGGATCTGGGAGTGACGGGCAAACTCCTGTGGACTGGATTGAAGAAATGCCGAAGAGATAAAGGTCGAGCAATGGAAAGGATTCAGAACGATGCAGACGAGTGTGATTGTAAACAAGACTGGGTAAGCCCAACACCGAAAGGGAGTGCGGGTCGCCAACGGTGAGCTACCCATTGTGTTAGACGGTGCCAGGTGAACTTGACTTGACTCTTGAGTTTCCTGTCCACATCGTAATAAAGTATTACATTCGTGGGAAACATGTCGGCAGTATTTCGGTTAGGAACCTGCCTATGCACTGTACATGTGTCAGTCTGTGTGATTATTTTCTATAAATAGTACCCTCCTTCAAATCAGTTCATTGAATTATGCGCAAATGACGAGTCGACACATGATGCATTGCCACTATACTATGTACGACCACTGTTATTTTGGTAAAGCCTCGATTTCACATTTTTGCTTTTCGCAGCATCGGCGAGAATAGTTAGTCTTGCCAGAATCTCACTCTATTGATGCTCAAAGATATAACTTCTCAGTTTCTCAGCTTCCAGCAGCCACACTACTTCAGAAAAGCGACAGACGAAGCATACAACAGGAAACTCGGCCTAGCTCCCCATCATTATCATGCCTTGATGTCAGTACTTTCATGTTTGACTTCCTGTCTTGCTTTTCTCACATTGCTGTTGCAGGTTGATACTATGGGAGGTGGTGGCTTCATCGGAGAGGTGTATGACGACCCACACAACAACTTCTTCCGGGTAAACTCTTGTTTCTATGCAAGAGTACTGGTACTGACAACAAGTACTTGTAGTTGTCGCAGCAATCTCTTGCATTGCAATTGCCATCTCCTGGCTTCCATCTCCCTTCTTTGTTTTCGGCTCGCCGCTTGTTGGATGTCGTCTTCCACCACCAGATGAATATGTTTCACAAGATCATTCCAAACGTGGTTCTTCAGTCTTCGTGCTCGCTCAAACTTGCCCGTGGAGCTTACAACCATTAAACCCGACAAACCAGTGCCAGAAGCCAATTTGGAAGAAGGGAGTGATAAAGGTGAGGGCGAACAAGGTGAAACAGTTGATAATGTAAGTGTTGTTTCGACTCTCGCGCAGTGCCGTTTCAACACGATGGCTGTCAGCGTGCTTCTGTGAATGATTCGCTCCGCACTACTGTTAAGACCATGCACAAAGGGTAGGACTGATTCCAAGGGGCTTGGCTTCAGCTCGTGCGCTGTGCCCCTTACCCGAGTATGTGCCCTTAACTTCAGAATGAAGTCCGGAGAAAGTCCAGTGAAGTCCGAAGAACTTCCAGAGAAGCGTGGGAAACTTCGGAAGGACTTTCCGGACGAGTGCGAGAAACTTCCGGATGAGTGCGGGAAAGTTCCGGAGGAACTTCCGGAAATTACGATGGAGAATTCCTCCCTAGGCCTGAGATGGATAATTACTAAGTCTGAGGACTAGAACTGTTACGAGGACTTAGGGTGAAGGCTAGTGCGAGGACTAATATGTGTATGATATTCAGACTGAGGAAGTACAAAGATTCTACAGAGTTTATATACTACAGAGGACTTAACGGAGAGTCAGTCAGCACAGTCCGAAGCTATGCGAGGCTGTGGACAAAGGATGTAGAAAAGTCAAACACTAGTCTATCGGAAAATAGTAAATGAAGATGGAGATGAAGACATAGGAAAATAAAGCTGGAAATGAAACAAGGTACGGAAAATGAGGAAGTCTAACTCAAGAAGGAACATACAAAGGGATAAGGCACGGAAGATAGACGCGAGTCGGATCCGGAAGATAGACGTGGGTCGGATCCTGATGTTCGGAAGTCCGGAGACAGGTGATTACCATAAGGGGATGGGCGCTGATTTAAGGTTTGGGTTCGGACATGACAGATAGGTCGGATCCGGAGATCCGGAGATGTGTATATTAGATCTGGTGTCCGGATATCAGATGCAGGAGTACAGGGATCCGGATGGATAGAGGATTGGGTCTGGAGACATGGACAGGAGGTCCAGAGGTCCGGATGAGGCGTGGGAACGTCGTCGGATGTTGGTCCGGAATGCGGGATATGACAACTACAAGGGGTAAAGGAACACAGCATCCTACCGCCCGCCTCAATAATGAAGATTGACAAACACTCTGGAAACGGTTATTGCATCCTCGAGGGAAAGACCCCAGTCTGGTTTCTTACATTCCAGCACTCAACCTGCAAGTGGGTCCAAACAAATACTGTGCAATCTCTGGCACTGGAACTCAAACTTGTTTCCCATAGGATCTTCTAGACGTCCCGTTGGTGCTGCTGCCTGCCGCGATGAAGATGTGAGTCATTTGTCATCACTCCCCTTTCATGTTATTGAAAACAATCTGCAGCGATACGGTGTTGTCCCTGAATCCTTCCTTAACAACATCACCAGCTTCAATTTCATCAAGAGCCTCGTCGCCTGCAGCCACTGAAAGGTCAGAGGGTGATATTTGTTTGGCAGGGGTGGGCCCTACTGATTTCTGTGCAGGCTCTGACTTGACTACAGTCGTGTTGTATGAGATAGCCTGAACGAATTCAGAGGTATCGTTGAATGTAAAACCATTGGCATGGCCATCCTCTGCGTCGTCCATCTGTAAAGTGTCATCTGCTTGGCTCGTATTCTCGCGGCGCGTCTGGATCTCAAGGTGATAGCACTTCACCGCTTAATCTCCTGGTATCTTACTGATGTTTAGCATTTCTAGCAACTTCGTGTATATTTGGTGGCAGTGCACGCCATTTTCCAGAATCCACTGTCAGTGGCCCCGTTGATATATTTTTTGCATCGTGTCATTCGGGGGTCCGATTGGGTCCTTTGTCAGCTGAAGTTGCGTTGCTCGAGCGGGCATGTGCTCTGCACAGTTTAGACCCTAGGGGGTCATATCCCTTGCTCGAGTTGCGAAAATCGTTGTTGCAACATCTACTCCATGGGGAATGCACCAATTTGCAACGCGGCATCAAACTTTTGCAGTCCTACAACAACTCTTCAAGCTGCAGTATAATCTTGGGTTGATCGTGTCATCTTTCAGTCACGTTTGCGTCCACAACAGCCCATCTCAGTTGAACTGACTCAGTGCTTGACCTTAAGCACGGTCCATGAGTCGACTGCTGCTACAAATCTTTAAGTTGTTCCTTCGACTTCCTGGAGCTCCCTGGCGCCCATCCGATGCTTAGCGCCTGAAAACAATACAGCATGAGGCTTGCATCAAGTATTTAAATGGCGCGAGGCCCACCCTTTCTCCAACTTCTTGTCACACTCAGGCTCTACTTTGCACAGATCAATTATTGCACTCAACTATTCACCATGAGCGACCAGAATCAATTGGGAGACTCAAGGTCAGGTCCTCCTCCACACATCGAGACACCTAATGAAATAAACCCTGCGGAACGCCTGGTACGTAGCTGATGTCCATCAAGTTGCACTCGAAACACTGACTCTTGTCAATGCATCCCTTGTCTAGGGCCGACCCCATGGCAAAATACATCGGTTTCTGGGGAAGGTCATGAATGGTGCAATAAAACAGATTTCTGTGAGTCGAAATCAATACTGAGTGCACTAGTACTGTGATGAGGCTGATATTGTACACAAGTGCTCGAACTCAAGGAATTCACGCAGCCGCGACCCTGTTCTCCCGATTGTCAATTGTGAAGTTGTCTCATCGGGTCCGAATATCATGGTAGGTCGTCTTTCGTTCCATGCACTCTCCGTAAACTCTGTTGGTCACGCAGGTTCAGGATGCTCCCTCTGGTGCGGAACAAGGCGCCAATTCCCAATCGGCACTTCGAGACGCCCAAGAGGCTGCCAAAGGCATGCATCTATTTTCAGGACCTGTGAGCATCTGGACTTTCTGCCGCAAAAGATGCATCTAAATTAGAGGACACATATATTTGGCCTTTCAGGATATTCAACAACATTATCGAGAAGCTTGCGGATGTATGGGCCCATTCCTCTCGGTCGGAACCGAACTGCTGCGCCCTTATGCAAAGATGACACTGGTCCCACTGTCCTCTACATTCATAGTACGCATTGTTTTGCTCCGGATCTCATCTCATGCTCAGCCGTCATCCATGCAAGTAATTCTCGCTCAAACGGATCGGGACCAAGGGATACTGCAGCTTCTCAAGAAGTTAGGTGAAGTGTACAAATTTATTATGCAAGACAAGACTCTTGCCGGAATTCCATCGATGCAAGGTATCGTCAAACGAATAGTTGAGCAGACCGTCGAATGCTCCAAGTTCATCCAAAAGTAATCTGCGACAACAAACTTCTGTGAGGAATCCATGAATTTATTGAGCTTCGCTCACTTGCTCATTATCTATTCTCTACTATTGTTGTAGGGAAGAGACTCAAGAAAAATGTTTTCTCGGAAGCAGACAGACGACTCAGAATTACATCAACGTGCTGGACGTGCTCATGCAAAGCTTCCAGGACCAAGTGCCTGCGATGTAGAGATATTCATCCACCATGCAGGTAAGGGTTCCATGTGCTTCTAAATTAACATCTATTTATACGTCTTCAGGCAATACACTAGACCTCATCGGTATCGCATGTGCAGAATGCGCAGGACTAGATACTGGGAAGCGACGCGCATGGAAATCATATCTGAGATCATGGACTGGGTCACTGGACATAGTTCAGCAGTGGAACAAGTTTCTGATGAAACCACTTGACAAGCCCTCAGAACCAATCGTAAGACCTGTCGTCATCGTGATAGACACACTGGATGGGAGTGGCGGAGTCAAGACGCGGTCTCGCATTCTCCAGATTCTTGCGGGAAAACTAGGCGTTCGAATCACCAAACTCCCGACCAACTTCCGGATCATCGTGACCTCTAACCCGCTTCGCAACATTGAACTTGAGCTCTCAGGTGCTCAGCATATCCGATGGATGTCCATGAATGACATTTCATCAGCCACCGCAGAGCGCAACATTCGCACTTATGTATTGAAGGAGCTGAAAGGGCATTTGGAGAACAGACAATTCAAAACTCTCGCTGAAAAAGCCGATGGGCTTTTCGAGTGGGCACGTGAAGTGCAAGTTATTGTCGAGCATACGGGATCCCTCCTCAGCGACATCACCGACTCATCCACACCTATCCGACTCCTTCATGCATCCTTCCGTGATTTCCTTACAGATAGTGAATGTAGCAAAGAGTTCTCCGTCAACATGCCGAAGGTGCAATGAGACCTTACTTTCGCATTGCTTCGAGTGATGGAACATAAACTGTCCTTCAATATCTGTGATCTAAAATCATAGTATCTCCCCAACTCCAAAGATCCTGGTCTGCGAGAATGAGTTGAAAAATGCATCCCCTCACATCTATCCTATGCCTGCCGATTCTGGCCTGTCCACGTATGAGCAACTGACTTCGATCCAGACCTCGCCAAAGAAATCAAATCATTATTCGAGCATGAACGACTGTTCTTCTGGCTCGAGTCACTCTGCCTTATCGATGTGCTCAGGAGTGCAGTGCCCGTCCCTCCGCTTATCGCCAAGTGGTTGAAGGTGAGCACATGGTTATCCAGTGTCAGATAACATTCTTGCTAACACAGAATCACAATTACAGGATCAGACCAGATACGAAGAAACCTCGTCCGCTGCAATGGACGTGCAGAGATTTATTCAAGTCTTTGGCGGCATCATCTTGCACAGCACACCCCATCTCTATGTATCAGCATTGCCATTCTCGCCCGTCAACTGTGCACTATCCAAAACATTTTCTGCACGGTTTCCTAACTGTCTTTGTCTGGCATCTGGACGTGATCTCAATTGATGACGTCAACTCAGTGTCATTCTCGCAGGATGGGACTCGCATCATTTCTGGTTCACATGATAAGACTGACCAGTTATGGGAAGCGGCGACGGGACAGCCAGCCGGTGAGCCCTTGCTTGGGCACACTGATCGGGTTAGGTCAGTCTCATTCTCTCCAGATGGGACTCGTATCATATCTGGTTCGGACGATAGGACTGTTCGGCTGTGGGATGTAGCAATGAGGAAGCCTGTCTGTGAGCCCTCAAAGGTGCACACTGATGATATTCGTTCAGTTTCGTTTTCGCCAGATGGAAGCCGCATCGTGACAGGTTCGGCTGATCAGACTGTCCGGGTGTGGGATGCAGCAACAGGGCAACCAGTTGGTGAGCCCTTGCTGGGGCACACTTCTTTGGTCATGTCAGTCTCATTCTCTCCGGATGGGACTCGAATTGCGACAGATTCTTCAGATACCACTATCCGACTGTGGGATGCAGCTACCAGACAGCCACTTGGTCTGTCCTTACGGAGCCACACTAATTTTATTACCTCAGTTTTGCTATCGCCGGATGGAACCCGCTTTGCGACTGGTTCGGTTGGATCACATCGGTCTCATTCTCACCAGATGGGAATCACATCATTTTTCGTTCACAGGATGGGACCGTCCGGGTCTGGTATGCAGCGATTGAGAAGTCATTGCAGGACCATGCCGAAGAAAACCATTCACCATCTTCCCCGCACGGCAGTTGCATCCTACATCTGATAGCGGCCATTTCCACACCCAACACTGCGAACAATGACTTCATTTTCTTCTCATCCAACTCAACTCATGCACTGCGCGACACTACTGAGCTACTCGCATGCACCCCCCATGATGACCGCAGATCGATGTTTTCTCTTCTTGGAGATGATGGATGGATGATGGGACCCAATCATCGGCTCTTATTCTGGGTACCACCCGCTTCTCGAAACCCATTTTATAATCTATGGATTGCATCAGTAATGCCCAGAGGTGGTGTTGAACTTGATTTGAGTCATATGGCGCATGGGACGCACTGGAAGCACTGCTACGAGTGAGTTTTTAGCCTTTTCGTTAACTTGCAGTTAATCAATTCGATACTTGTAGCTCTTCATTACGTTCTGGTGAATTGATTTGTAGAAATATCTGAAACACTTTATCGAACACGATGTGGAGCACACAGTTAATTCATCGTCTATTTGTATGCATAGGTAGTATCGCGTTCGAATTTATGGCAGTTTGAGCGAACCCAACAGATACTAGATGTGTGTTTAACGGCGCCTGCCAAAGTGGAGTGAAGAAAGTGAAGATTGCGGCAGCGGCAGGGAAGTGTTTATATATTGCACGTTGATTTATATTCAGTTGCATATGCTGGTTTAAATGTTGAAAGAACTGGAATATTACATGAGTACAGTACAATATGTGTATGGTACGTAAGAAGAGTACGATAAGAATGACGGATCCAAAGATATTGAGACATGAGGTGAGGAAGAACATGCGAAACTTAGTTTGAAGAGGGATTAAACATGAGGAAATATACGAGCACCTTGGAAGTGCAAAGCAGTCAATGAGAGGCGAGTTTTCATCAAGCATTTTGGGCGTACAGTCAATTTGATCAAGTTTTGATCAGGCAACTAGAACACCAAGTGGCACATTTCAGTAAGCGTAAGTCAATTCAGGATTGAAAGACGCGGTCAAGCGTCTGAATATAGTACTGGTTGTTTGTTTTAATGGATCCCAAGACTGATGCATGATGGCTCGGCGCCGGCGTCAAGCAAAATTCTACTCAAGTAGTTAGACAAGCAAAGCAAAAACAAACATAAGTGAAAAATCAACAGGTAGCCTACGCATCGAACGTGGCAATAACCCCATATCCTCGCCCATCCATATTATGCCAGTATGGTGAGTATCAATATGGCTGCGCAGCCGCCAGGTATACTATAGCCTAGTAAGCGCCTCGATAGACGTCCACCCAACTCGTGAAACTCCCTATCGTCTTCCGCTTCCATGGCTTTGTTCAGCTCATCTTATGTCGTTCCTCCAATAGCGAGGCAAACTCTGGCTGTGTCAAGGATGGAGGCAGGTGCATTTAATCTGCACTCACTATTGTTGACGAATCCTCGTGGATACTCTCAGTAAGTTGCCAGTCTGGGTAGGCCCCGCGTGGTTCTCGTTCTCATTGCCTTGTTGGTTATCGCTGACGCGATTAGCAGCGGGTGTCGATGAGTCCCCGGTGTGCAATGGTATGTTTTAGGATTCAGATGCAAAAATAAAATTTCCTTCAACGTGAGCGTGTCGAATCCAGATGATGAAGTTGGACTGGGAAAGAGGTAGAAGTTGGTCTTCGCATTGGCATCTACATAGGCCAGTTAATGTTCCAACACTCCTCAACAGTAATACTTACTGCGCCCTTCACATTCTACGCTACCACACTCAGGCTGGTGTGTTTCCTCTTCCCCTCCGAGATTATGTCACTCACCCGGAACTACTCCCGTCTACCCATTACCCACAACATCTTCGGCGGCTGCACAATGAATCTCATCAAGCTGTGCTATCAACAAACTAACCGCAAATACCCCAACCACTCCTTAAGGTCATATTACTGATTTCCTAACGAGAACTCCAAACTCACAAATGCGCCGCTAGGTCATCATCTCACAAAATTCAATACCATGTCTTCATCTAAAATGTTCGTGCTCATACTCCTGGCGTCCATGAGTCTTTAATTTGAACTATGGAATGTGATGCCCTACCAATGATCCCCGACTGTACTAACGAGCGTCCACGATGGTATGACTTCGGACACTACTCACAATTCTAGGTAAAATGGATTCCTGCATTTTGAACCAGACCTCGCAATACAGAACCTCGCACGAGCCTGACAGTCTATTTCCCCGCAGGAACAACTATCCCCACCTTTGCGCATGCCCAAATGCGGATCTCGTAGTTCGTACCAGACCACTCATTCACGCCAGAAAGTGTCCATCGTTGGATGAGTAAGGTAGGCCTTCAATTGCGCGAATTCACTTCCCTTGAATCATTAATTGATGCAACCATCAGCTCAAGCACGTGCTGTTCAAATGATACACTGCGCTGGAAAAATGGGTTACTGTACTTCATTTCATGAGGGTTGTCCTCACTTTTGATTATGTCGAACCGATTGGTTACTCTTATCAGTGTAAGGTCGCACATCAAAGAACGTACTTGCACATAGAGTATATAACCCCCGGGTATCTATATCACCTGGGTGTGGTGACCCCTGTCAAACCTAAGCGGAGTCACCGTCACCTGTGTACACGGCTTGTCGCCGGCGCCAAGTTGATCATGCCACAGCCAATTTGTTTTTCAAACTCCGATCGATCTTGCCCCTCTCTCATTTGTGTGCGCCGCTGCCACTGCCTTTGTCGTCGTCTGTTCGCGCCGTTCATTTCTTTTTGTGTTCCTTTTGTTCTCCGTCCCTTTGGGCGCTGTCTGCTTGGCAGTGTGGTGGCAAGCACTGATGCGGCTGACGAGGCTCCTGGCTTGTGGCCCTTTGCGGGTGGGTCTACGTGAGATCCAGGCGCACTCACCACCGCCAAGGTAGTACCAATGTTACAATAACATGTAACCGAGAACCCCTCCTACGGAGGTCATCATGACCTTAGCCCCTATCCCACCATATGCACCGTCTTGGAAGACTTACCGACTCAACGGAGACTCGTAGAGACGCCTAGAACGGCCTGGATGCCGTTAGATGACCTAGACCAGCCTAGGCTACATCTGATCGGACCTAGATGGTCCTCGACCCGGATCATGAGGAAGCTCTGCCTCATGGTCAGAAGAGAAGCCGCATGCCTTAGCATGCGCAGTTAGACTCAAAGGCATGCTACGCCTTGAGGACAGATAAGAGAGGCATGGTAAGCCTCATGTATAGATAATCGACCGCATGGCATCAGATAAGATGCCCTTGTATAGACACACTTACATCTACCTACCGAACGTAGTATTGGTCTGTGCACACGGACGACAGTATATAGAGCAGACTAGAATCATGTATATTCCCTACTTGATTCTACTAGGTTTTATCCAGAACTTCCTCTGAAAGACAGTCCCAGTCCTTCAGTCTAAGCCGCACCTTAAGGAAAGCCGACGCTACCTTAAGTGGAACCCCCGAACCTCTCATTCGAGAGAAGATCCCCGTCTCTCCAATAGCGAGCCCGCTATCAGATTAGGCAATCCGCCTAGGGAGAGCTCGAACTATCCTAGTCCGTAACAACCAAGGTCTACATGAGATCTGGGTGCGCCCCATTGCCATTGTGCCACGTCCGCCATGCAAAACCAATGTTCGATGCTTTCATTCCGAATGCTAGTGTTGTCAGCACCATCTTTCACTCTTTTCGGTCCGTTCTTTTATAACCTATCTACTTTCATTCAATCCGGTACATGTCTTTCACTTTGACCATTCTTCAGTGTTACATTCTTCACTACTTTGGTTCTGTCCCGCATGTATGCGCTGGGTCTACAATGAAGGCAGAAGATGGACTTACGATCTCTGCTACTTGTGAAGCGGCACCCCATTTCGTGGGGAAGTCATCTGCGTCGAGGTGGTCATTGACCGAGTACCCATCGTCTTTGTTTCAGTAGGATAGGTCGCGGATAATACGAGAATTTCCCGGAGAGCTGGCTTTCTCAACAAGACCAAGATGAAGAATCCGCCAAGTTCTGCTTCCACCTGAGATGCTGTCAAAGGGCCTGACATGCGACCGATGATGGAGACTTCTTCTGCAAGATATTCACGGATTACTGAGGGATTGTCTAGAGCTGACTTGTGATTGGGAGGGGTATAGGAGCGCGTCAAACGGGCATATTGCTGATGGGAAAACCGTGTCTAACAGGAAGTCAGGTCAAACTTGTGGAGTAGACGCTCGAATGCGTCAGCGTCGTAAGGAGTTACAGAGTAAGACGTTCGCAGGCTCACGTAGAACTCAAACGGCACGCTTACTACATCCACTTTGACAGTTGAATCTTCCAACAAGGTGTGCACTTTGTATATGAAGACATTCAATATCCGTTTACCATTGTCAGCACTCATATTTTATTATTGAAGTTACTCGTACTTGTTGAAGGATTCAGTGATCTGTCAGTACCTCCTCAATCGACTCATCCTCAATGACATCATAATGAAGTTGTGATTTTTCTTGGCGATGGTAGCATTCACTGATAGACTGTCACTGCCTTCAGGCTTTCTGGAACATCCTGCAGTTGGCGCACGTGCAGGAATAGTATGTCAGATGGATAGATTCAATAGCTTAGGATTTGAATTTGATGCATCCTGTGATTTATGTCTGCATTTCAGTACTAGTGTGCAGAGTCTGAATTGCCAGACATATTTGTAAATTTGAAAGGTACTGGGATCCAGAACGACTGGAGCAGCCATATTTGTTGGGGAGACGGTCTTTATGGACGGGGAACCGAGAGCAGTAAGTGGGGGAGATGGAGAGTAAGATGTAAAAGCGCGGTGTACCCAGATGGTATGATCATATGTGAGAGTGCAGAGGGTTGAAGCCTTTGCAAGCAGACGTAAACAGGTACAGGGAAGATTCATCATCAGATCGAGAAATAACACAAATGTCAAGGAGGGCGATAGTTTAGATTTTCAAGCAAGTGTGGTCAATATCTGGAGGGGCGCGGACGAAGGGAATGGTGCAGTGCACAACCGCCAAATCACGCAAGTGTGGGAATTCGTGCACAATGGAGTGGAACCATCATACCGCGGAAGACGAGCCGTCTGAGATGTAAAGGAAGTCACTTGTGATAGGAGTGTGTTGTAAAGTGCCATATCCGCCACCAGGCTTGGTCGGTGGGTGTCCTTGGTTTCAGATAAAAGAGACCTGGTTGACTGGCGATTGTGAGTAGCGTTGACGGTAATCGGCTTCAACCCGTGAAAGGAAACAACAGCGACAGCTCCTTGTGGTTCCTCTACGGCGCGCATGAACGAGGAGATACTCCTAAGAAGAACGTTCGGTGAAGGCTTAATGGAAATCAGAGCGAGACTCCAGTATTACACAAAGCATGACTTACGAGGTGCCACACGCGCAGGTCGACGAGCCGAAGATTATGTAATCTGGATGTGGCGTTACAATTGCCGCATATAATTGTGGACTTTGAAAGTTGATTTGTCAGCGCAGACTAAACAATGTCGGCACATCATGTTCCTCTTTCCCTGATCCGGCAGGTTCACTGACTCACTGAGCAGCTGTTCAGGAGGTTATCGATGTTCAGGCGTTCATGGAGCGTGGGCGACCACTGACTGCTGATCAGTCGACCACTGGGATCGTAGATTTGCATTTTCACATCGAACTTGGTAGCATGGCCGAACTAAACATTTTGGTGCGTTCATTTACTACTCTATGATAGCCGACGAGGTTTGTGTGCGGTACACTGAAAAGTCAAGACGCTCACTCATTCATGGATTTAATTTAGGGTCGAGTGACTCTCCTTGAATGGGCTCCAGAAGTACAACTTGACAGTTGTCTACCGTACCACAGCGTTCCTCGATCTCGCACATACTCTAACGTTGTATTGACCACAGCCAAAGCCCCACCCCCAACTGACGAAAATTTGTATTGATGCAACTCGCATTTAGTCTCCACTGAATATATCATTGACAATACTGTGTTTGTCTAGATCATTAGTCGAGTCAGTGAAAGATGACGCACGTCACGCCAACAGTTTCATTCGCATTTTCGCAGACTCCACTTCCCTTGTAGTGCATCAAACAATAGTAAGCAGTGCACCGTGACAGATAGGCGATAAGTGAAAGCAGCCATCCGGGTTGAAGAAATTACTGACTTCGATGGGTGTGCATATTGAGTTGGATGAGCCATGCTTCTGATTTGGCATTGATTAAGATTGGTCAAGTGTCCATCGCAGAAGGCCTTGACCGCTTGAGGTATGACCATGACTGCAAGGTGAGAGTCGGCTTCATGGGCCCAGCTCCTACGTACTATCTAAGTACACAAGAACTTTTGTGAAAATTGCAGTCGACAAACATACGACAGAGCATATGAAAACGAGATAGCTGGAGCGCAAGAATATATTAGGCCTGGTCATTTGTATAACAGCATGAAAGAGGATTGCAAATCAACAACTTGTAAATATGTACCAGATAGCATCAATACCAGGTAGTAGAGCTACACACCAATATGAATGAAAACCGTCCTCTGCTCCAGCAGCACTTTCATTTCGACGGCATGCATGGCACAGTTGAGGGCCCAGGCCGCCTTTATACAGTCCATCATACCTCCATCCTTCGAATCTTGGAACATGTTCTCATGGAAGGCTTTGACGACGTGTTTTGGGACAGAGTCGTCGACCTGCCACAGTGTCCCAATGACACTCTTGATTCTTGAACCCCGAAAATTGAAGACCAGCTGCAAGGTGAATCACTTCGTCGGGTGTCTCCTCATCCCCGACGGCAGTATGGCACGCTGATAAGAATGCAATGTTAACCTCCTACCATGAGTTTGTTGATCAATTCTGTCCCACCTTTGTCATGCGCTGCTCTAGAATCTCTTAACAATTTACCAGTGGACTTTAAGTACGAGCACTCTTTTAACGAAGCAAAGCCAACAAACTCTCGAAGCTTTCGCGCAACTCAATTTTATTTCACAAGGAACACAACATCCTAAATTATTTCAGCTCGTTACTTGCTGCAAGGAATATTGTGCTCTGAGCTGCGACAGGCTCCGGAAAGACCCTCGCAATGATTCTCCTGTTACTTCTTTTTTCCGGACAAGACAGCTATTACTGTCACACCTTTTGAAACTGCTGCAGCGTGATAATGTACAGCAGATATACAATTTTATTGGGTGAAAATATAAAATTTGCCCTTGTGAATCATAGGTTCAGGAGTTTGAGCACTACGGATTCCTTCTATCACAATCAATCATGACACTCCATCTAACAAGAATCTCTGGAACGTATGAACAGTCATTGTCTTAGATGACTTTATATGATGTTGGAGAGGCATACAGTACTTTGTACGATGTGAACGAAGGACTTTGTGTAGTCGACGCTGCACACAAACTACAATTTCAGTATCTATAAATTGTTATGCAAAGACTTTTCATAGTTCCAGTTCCTCATCGTAAACTGCACGAAATATGGCATAGTTGTGGCGCTTATGATATGTCATACCTCGCTCATCTCCAATAGCCTGCAATATGGCATCTTTTGTTGGACTGTGCTTCGCAATATCTGTGTAGGTCCTGGATTTGTGATGTTGAATAAGATGCGGGAGAGTCCATGGCTGCTTTCCAACAATCTTCCAAGATTCCGAAATGCCATGAGAATCCTGCCTTTGAAGATTCAACCTCGCTTCGTCTACCATATCACTTTTATCACTTCTTCGAGCTGTTGGCCTCATCTGCTCCATCCACTCATCCCAGTCATTGTACCCGCATATGACCGCCAGCTGATCGCGAGCTATGTCTATGAGTATTTGCCGAAGGATCCCACTGATAGTGACTCTATCCTGCAAGGTTTAAATTTGAGTATAAAAGGTGGACAAAAACACAAACACAAGACGAACAGCTGAAATAGCCCTCACTCTTGGCATCAGCAAAGCTCTCCAAGATGTATTTCTAAAGGCACGTTCAAAGTTGTGTTTGCGCGTCGTTTTCAACGCTGTTTGTATGATTTTCAGATGGCTGAGTTTGAATTTGCTTATTCAGCAGTCGTCCACGATTTTTCGCCAATTTCTGATAGTATAACGCGAAAGGCTGTATATATATAGCATTGTTTTCAATCCAAACTTTTTGTGCACTATCAATGTCACAAAAACAAGTGCAAGTACTTATGTCACATCTTTGACAGGTCACGCCTTTTTCAGATTGGAGTGGGACACATCAACCTGGCAGCAAGTGACTCTCGGTCATCAATTCATCCCTGGAATGGCCACGCTGACATCAACAACATTGCCATTCATCCCGCTGGAGATCGATGGACCATCGCCATCTTCCGGCATTCATCCATCGCAAGGTGTGTCACATTCTCTGTGGACGGCAAGCAAGCATATCCTCAGCGGAGGTGATGACAAGATCTTAGAATGGGCAAAGGCGAGTTTCTATTTCTGACTTTCATTACGCAATTCGAGCATCCTTCGCACAGATCCTTGACATCACAACAGCCCGTGATGCATGTCTAACTGGGGATTTGTCTATCGCTGAAGAGCTCCTCACCCAAGAGATCCACACCAATGCCAATGACTTTATTTCATATGCAAATCGTTCGTTCGATATGGCCCGGAAGCACAACTTGAACAACGCCATTGAGGATGCAATCAAGGTGAGATGGACCCACCCGTCATTGTCATCTTATGGAAGGCTAACATTCATCCATGACATAGTCTCAACATTAAACCATCATTGATTGGCTTTGTCTCGAAAGGCATCACCCTCTGCGGAAAAGGTCACGTCTGAGAAGCAAGGGTAGTATCTGATGTTGCGTTGATGTTCACGAACCAAAATTCTGAAACCAAGCAATTTCTTCTTTTGATCAAGGTACATTTAATCCGCCTCCCATGCTATCCGCTTCATCCGGTATTCCAGGCCATCGCACTCTTCAACACAGATCAACACGAGGAAGCAATGCTGCTCATCAAAGACCTGGCTGACACTTATGTCGATCCTCTTGCACATCATGTCGTGGAAGTGAGTGTCATGTGGCCACACTTGGTCATCGATCCTGATATTCTCAACTTACACAATAGACATACGTGTTCAATTCGGAATCAAAGCTTTCGATAGCGCGCATCACGACGAAGCTGTTGATCACTTCACTCCCGCTGTTAACTCAGACACTTTCTCATCGAAATACATTCATTTCGCATATTAAGACTTGACCATAGTGTGTCAAGACGATGCATACATAATGCTTTTTATAACCTAGTGCTTTGTCCAGCTCTTTAGCTGGGATCTCGAGTCATTGTGGCTAACTACACACCAGAAACGGTGCCAGACATCCCTTTTGGCAGGTAAACTCGACGAAGCCCTCGAAGCACACAGATACATGATGGACGCCATCGACGACATTGCAAAGGCCAGCTGTCTCGATTGGTCCAATGGCAAGTCTTCCGTCGTGTCACCCGCATGTCACTCAGAGTTCAAGAAGAAATGCAGCATGCTCGCTGCGCGCAATGACTGTATTCTTGGTGTATGTACCTCTTTCGATACTGACTATTATGCAGGCAGAGATACCCGGCCAAGATCACGATGGCCACGATGCAGAACCCAATTTCTTCTATGGGACGCATCAAGTGCGTGTACGAGCATATCCTTCTGTTCTCTCACATAGTTCATTACAGTATTCTCAGATTTGCCGGCCACGTCAAGACATCCAGTGTCAGACATGAGATTAACATCGAGTTCGTACCAAGAGATTTTCTCAATCTCCCGAAGGAAGGTCCATGTCTTTGTGTCCCTCAGGGTAGGGATGGGTGCATGCATGCTGTTAGAGATCGTTGCAACCAGATCATCTTGACCAAAAGGTTGTAGCCATCGTCGGTGACGCGTACGGGCTGCCAGATCGAGATCGGGGAATTTGATGATTGCAACAGAGAAAAGTTTGTGATACAGTTGGGTTAGATAACTGGGATACGCACCAGCAGAGAACGGCCTGAGTAGTGCCTGCTGCTCGTCCGTCAATGTTAACTCAACACCAAGGGCCAACACACCATTTAGCTCAGGGACACTACCGAGTTCGATGTGAAAATGCAAATCTACTATCCCGATCAGCGCTTACCGGCACCCACACTCTGTGAACGCCTGGACATTGATAACCTCCTGAACAGCTCCTCAGTGAGTCAGTGAACCTGCCGGATCAGGGAAAGAGGAACATGATGCCGACATTGTTTAGTCTGCGCTGACAAATCAACTTTCAAAGTCCGCAATTATATGCGGCAATTGTAACGCCACATCCAGATTACATAATCTTCGTCTTTTCTTCTCAACTTCCATTGTCGTCGAACGCTTAGTGTTCGGCGTCAACATCACCAACAAACACTTAGTGTTTGAGATTCGCCTCCGGCAAGCAGTTGAACACCTAGCGTTTTTAACTGAATGGATCTTTTCACTGTCGTCGAACACTTAGTGTTTGACGTCGAGACCGTCGAACATGAAGTTGATGTTTGCATGTCGACTATCGTCGACTGCACGTGTATCATGATCATATCATTGAATGAACTTGACTCGGATGTTGCATGCCCGACTATTGTCGACTGCACATGTATTATGATCATATCATTGAATGAACTTGACTCGGACGTTGCATGCCCGACTATCGTCGACTGCACATCCAGTTCTTTCAGTGTTCCGCATCTTCTTTCCAAAGTTTCATTCAATGGTGCCACAATGTTGGCGAATTCATGACTTCGACTCATTTCAGGTTGATGTCGACAAAGCGTCGGTCATCTTGAAGCCTGGCTGTGGGCATCATACAACCAACTATAAATGTCCATACAATAGCGATGAACTTCCAGAACCTGATGCGAAAAAATCTTGGCATGAGTCTTCCTCCAGTTCTTAGTGGTCTGAGGGTCACAGTTATGATTTTGAAGGTCACAAATATGTTGTCATCTGTATCTCATCACGTGTTGTTGCGTCACAAAATTTACTATTTCACAGAAAATCATTCATGTAATATTGACATGTTTCGCAAGCTTAAGGTAATGACATACATAGCGGACTAGCTATACAGAACCCCTATAAATGTATGTATAAAACTTGACATGTAAGCCTCCCCTAAAAATCGTCACTTCCACCATGCTCAGGAGGTATTATTTATGATCAAAGCACGTCCTGACACTACAGCATTGACTAGGCAACTTTTGAACAAGGGGAAAACACGATTATTCCACCCTCCAACATCTCTTCCCATAGCCACTGCGAGTCAGCCAATCCGGGGGCACTTCTATGCCCCTTCAGTGTAACAATAAGGCTGTCCTTATGGGAATTTGGGAAGATGTGGATGGATTCAAGGGCGGGCAGGGTATACCAGCACCTGCCAAAGGCTTCTGGATGGGTAACAGAGCCAGGAGTGCATTTGGTGTGCGATGCAGCAACAGATGAAGGAGTGTGGGAATAGTGTCCAAGAGGAGAGCGAATGTGTTCACTGGTACGTTGACGTTGTAGAGCGACAATTCCTGCAGTTTTGGAAACAAGGCATGAGTTGTACAGTATTTCAGAATGTCATCAGCTTTGTCATCTTCACCGTCATCCTGGGTGGGCGAATATGTGGTACCAGATAGATTTCGACCCTCTAAAGAGAGTTTGACAAGATTGGGGGCATGAAGCCCACTAAATAGCCCAATGTCATCTCCAATACAACAATATCCGTAGTGAAGCTCCTGAAGCTGTGGAAGTGATACGTGGCCTGAAAGTCCATTTAGCGGGCCAGAGATCCTAAGCACAAGTTTTTTCAGGCGAGGACAAGCTGCAAGGATCCCTGAAAACTCTTCAGACGTTGGCCTGACTTCTCCGCTATGATGGGAGAGCTCCAGCACCTGGATAGAGTTACTGATAGTAGGTGACCGATTAGGGGTTGCGCTGAGAGTATAGCAAAAGAAATTTGTCCAGTTCAAGTGAACACCGTATAGAGTTATATTTCGCAGTTTTGGAAGAGGGGGGGATTGCACTGGGACATCTTGATTTGTAGCTCCAATCAATGCAGCGAACATGGTCCCTTCTACCATCTTCATTATGCTTGGACAGAAGAGCCAGTAGCGAGAAAGGTAGTCGTTGGTTCTCTTGAGCTTTATGGACTCAAGGCGTAGAGCGCTTGAGCTCTCTGTCCTGGGTTCATTGAGAAGTTGGAGGGCGCTATAAATTGGCATCCAAGTGTCACTGATGATTTCCAGTGAACGCCATCGATACATCTCAGGCAATAAAAGGTTGAAAATAGCGGGCATACAGTCAGCATATTCGGACCTTGTTTTAGTGAAGTCAGTTTTTCTTCTCCTGAAGGCAAACATTTAGACAGCCGTACTATGCTAAATCAATGTGTCTTACATCATTTCCTCAGTACCTGACATTGGTCCTTGTTGAGCTCTGATAATAATATCCACGGAGGACCATCCTGATCTTGCGATCATTGTGGTCAATGGTGTTAAGCCCCCACTGGTTTGCTTGTGGATGACCTTCTGAAGATCAATAACAAGACTTGACCACAAGCTGTGATTGCAGAGCGCTACTGCTCTCCAGTGCAGATTCACAGATGCAAGTACATGTGGCATTGCGACACTTTGAAGGGATTCGCTGGGTGCACCATATGCAGCTAGCATAAATATTTGAGAAAGAGTTTCCACGGCAAGTTTACCAACATAACATGATTGGGGATCCATGGGGGATAAAAAATTGGACAGGGGGGAATTTGAAGTGATTCAACTGTCATATATTTAAGCGGAAAGCCTGAACATGTATATGTGGTTCCACACAGAAAATAATACAGAACAAGCTTACCACATGTGGATAACTGTACGACCCAGAGCGCCTAGTAGGGCAAAACAGCTAGAAACCCATAAATGGGTCAATGGATTCAAGCGAGATCAGATTAGGCTGTTCATGTGCAGTACTAGTCGCGTCCCGGAGCTAGCGCTCACCCATAATAATGTCTAGGGTGAGATTTTCAAGGTGGGTAGTTATAGATCTAGCCAAGAAGATGCTTTCTTCCTGCCTGATTTTCTTGATAGTTTCATCAATGTCTAATAATTAGCGCGGCACTATGTAATAGAAATCCAAACTTTGCGCTTTGTCCCTTTTAGGCATGACATGCATGACAAGGAAGGAGGAGAGTAAGGCCTCCCGGTCCGATCGCTACGGACAAAAAGTGAATTCCAGCATTCTGGCTTCTATCTTAGTTCCAGTCACGTCCTCTCCAGTAGAAGTGCCTTCTGTTGGTGCTGATTGATCTTATGGCGCCCACATATATATCCGATCCACCGCCAATGACAATTGAATTCGAAGCTTGGGCTGGAATGTCGCACCAAGTGCTGAGAGGAGGTTCCAAGCGAGCAGAATGCGTGTCAAAGATTTAGGTTGTTCGCGCCATGTTAGATATCAGCCCCCTCCATTACATAATATTGAAGTCGATCCTGATGCGAAGGCTGTGAAAGTTATTTCAAAGCTTTTGCTGACGTAGACGTCATTGAAACACATTCGCGCTACCCTGACAGATTCCCCGCGCCAACTCCAAACTCAATACAGTTATGCTGAGTAAAATGGCCAAATCAAATGGTTACTGAGTAGGCGTACATAACGATCAATCAATAATTGACATTACTAACCATCCCAGGCTGATTGCAGCATAGATCAGGAGACGTTGGAGCAGTGTATCCGTGATTGTGTGCCTGCGTGCCACGAGCAAGGCAAAGTAGGGAACTGCACGGGTATACCCCCGGGTTTTGGCGGGTTTTGAGTATCTGGGATGGTAGCTCTTCATTCTGCGACAAAAACAAAAAAAGGTTTATGCAAAATGATCCAGGATTGGCTGAGATATTGCTAGTCCAACAACTAAGGCTAAATCTTCAAAGCTCATCCCTCCACACATCAATCTTTGCAAGCAAGTCATGAATTTGCGAGTTTTTTGACATTTTGAGTACCCCCCTGCAAAGATTGATATGTGGAGGAATGAGCTTTGAAGATTTAGCCTTAATTGTTGAACTAGCAATATCTCAGCCAATCCTGGATCATTTTGCATAAACTTTTTTTTGTTTTTGTCGCAGAATGAAGAGCTACCATCCCAGATACTCAAAACCCGCCAAAACCCGGGGGTATACCCGTGCAGTTCCCTAAGGCAAAGTGATAAGGAGCATTCAAGCTTCAAGTTCGCTACCTTCAGCAGAAGCCGCACATTTCCGTGGCATGCGAGATCAGCAGAAGCAAAAGCTCCTGTAGTACGGCCAGAAGGCCTCAATCTCAATGTTAAAGTTAATGTATAGTAGACGTCGGGAGCAAAGAGATGTTCAGCTCAGTTAGGCTCAGTTGCCAACCAGAAGGTCAAATACCACGCAAATCCAGGGCATACTATGAGATCGGCGAAAGCAGGAGCTCCTTTAGTATGGCCAGAAGGCCGCGATCTGAATGCTAAGCGCTAATATCTCAAGATCCAGTTCAAGTTGTTGAGCGCCTGCCAGGTCCCAAGTCATTGGCGTGCGACCCAGGCACGGTTTGGTTCGAAACGGTTGCCAACGCGACTTTTGGTGGATGCTGCTGCATTGCCACATCTTTCATCGCATCAAACATGCCCTCATCATCTCTAACATTGAGCGCGCTATTATCCACACACATCAATGCCAGAACCCAACTTCTACCGACATTCCATGTTCAACTCGGCCTACCACAAATCGTTCTGGAAGATGACGAACTGCAAAAATTACAACATACCCTAACCAAGGCTGTTGAGTCCTAGATAGAGGTGTAGAGGAGACAAGTGGATGCTGCATAGATAGGAAAATGTGAGGGATTTGGTAGTACTCTGTATTCAAAAGTGCTGGGCACACGAACTAAATTTTCTGGATCGCTCAACGATCTGAAAGCTGAGAAGGTCAGATATGAAAGTGCTGCTGTGTACAAGGAGAAACTAAGATGGGTTCAACGGTTCGTCGGATCGTTTTTATGCGTGATCTACAAGATGACAGTCTCTTAGATCTATCATACACAACTCGAGCAGCTCTTCAGGAAATGTCTTTCCTGCGAGGTCGTCCAGGAATTAGACTCTACTTTAGCGCAGAACTCATCTTGAGCGTTGCACAGCTTTCGGGCACTATCATAGGTGGTCCGGAAGTTCTACCCAGAGTCAAGGCGCGTAATGCCATAGACCTGAGAGGGATTTTCACATTATGGATGAGTGAGTGAGGAGAATGATGAGGAACATGCATCTTTGTCAGGTATTGTCGAAATCGAGGATGATTTGAAGATAAATAAGAGAAGATGGAGTGAGTGACTCGGAGATGATGACAGATGTCATGCGTCGCCAGTGGGGCGTGCGCATGAGACCTCGCTCCATTTCACCAATAAACAGACTGATAAGGATAACTACAAAGGGATCGCAAATACTGCATGATTTGATTTTTACTTGAGGCAAACCTAATTCTGAGGTGCTCGCTCATACGTATGTATCGAAAGGGTGAGGAGATTGTGTGCAGCGTCCGACCACTGAAGAAGAGCTATCTGTAATTACGATCAAGAACCACTATGAGACACGGAATGTATGCCATCATACCTTGGTGTCCTTGAAGGATACCAATAGAAAATCCAGTTGGTATTCATAAGTTGACATAACGCGCACGCTCTCCATGCCAGTGACAGTGCCATGCAGAGTATGCTCTCGCACAAAGTGAAAGTGTGACACCATTGAAGGATCTTGACTACCCTCCTCAAATTTGGGCTACATGCATTTGAGCTGAAATAATTTAGTATGTTGTGTTCCTTGTGAAGTTGTGCAAAAGCTTCGAGAGTTTGTTGGCTTTGTTTCATTGAAAGGGTGCTCGTAAAGTCCACTGGTAGATTGTCGATAGCTTCTAGAGCAGCACACGACAAAGGTGGGACAGAATTGATCAACAAACTCATGGTAGAAGGTTAACATAGTAGCACACAGTCTAGACTTGGTCTAGATGCACTACTCTACTAAGTATCACTGGCGCGACCAGGACCTGCTGAAATTTAAACTCCATGCTTCGCCTGCCACATTTCTCCGAGATCTACTACGTCAAACACTTACATGACAACATCTCAGACGTAGTAAATTTGGACTGGTTACGAGTCTAGGTGAGACCATGAGAGCAGTGTACCACAGTACTGCAGTGATGAAGTGTTTAGTGCGTTCAGTCCGGAGGGACAGGATAAGTACGAAAACTTTTTGGGAAATTGCTGCGGGCCGCTACCATTTTGCAAATTGTAATGCTTTGGAAAGTTGAGTGTCCGGTGATGAATTTATCACCCGCTCGCTTCATTGACATCACAGGAGATAGGCCGCCGTGCTACAAATCCCTCAATTTACTCTGCTTTGCCAGCTGGCACGCTGTCATTTTCCTCTCAACCTGAGCTCCGCCTGTTATTCTTTCTACATCTCTCCTCGATCCTCTCCTCCTCCTCGAGCTCCAACCTCCTAGCTTTGGCACGTTCCATAACAATGTGATCTGCAATGCTCTCATAGTTGCTATCATCATCATCATCATCATCATCATCATCAAAAACAGCACTACCAGAGCCAACATCTGGGAACATGCTAACACCATACTGCGAACTTTCACGTAGCGTCATGATTGCTTCGTCCCTGTCAAGATGAAGGTCTTGCATGATGAGCCGTACTGCAACTTCGGGAATCAATACAAATTGAACAAACTCCGCACGTGAGAGAGGAGCTATCAAAGAAGTATCAAATGATGAAAATGGAAAGAGATTGTAGAGTGTTTGGTGTATAATCAATAAGCCAAGTTCACCATAGCTAAAACATCATTTAGTGGGGATATACCAACGAGAATCGGATGCACTTACTATCCAGGTTGAGTCTTCTCGAAGGTGGAAAACTGGCCCTTCACACCAGTGGTAGTTCAACTGCCTTGTCTCTGGATGTCCTTCTTGAGTTCTCTCCAGAAGATACTTTGGGCTCGGGGACCCCTGGTATCATCATATACAGAGCTCTCATTATCACTGCAATCGTCAGCATCGGGGATTAAATCTTCAAGTGCACTCTTCATGCTCTCGACTCTCTTGGGCACCTCCTTGAAGTCAATGCTTTGTGGCCATCCTTTCTCCAGAGCCTCAGGCAACCAATGCGTTTCGAAGCGATGCTGCTGACAGGCTGAGATATAAATTGCTAGAGGAGCCTTAAGTCCAAAAGGATTTTGAGGACTCGGGTCTCCGTAAGATTGCTGCTTCGCAGTGGCCAAGAGATCATTCAGTTGTGACGTTGGATTACATGGAAGTGGTTCATCACAATATGGGCACAACATAGACAGATCAACTACTTGGTCTATTTCAACTGTGCGTAGAGGCATTGAATAGGGATATGCATGATGAAAAGACGACATACGAGAGTCCTCATCTCCCAGGGTCAGCTTTGTCGAATTTCTGCTGAAACTATGAGGTGGGATTCGGGAACAGCAGGGATGGTAAGAGGATTTACTTTGGATCGTCTTCCTTGGGCCTCTTAACATTGCGCCCACATCCTCCATCGCTATGATCCAAGACTCGCTTGAACTCCATGCTCTTGGAAGATGAATGAAGACCAGAATGGTATGCCGTCTTGAGATCCCGTAAATCCATGGGGAATGGTCTAAGGGCGACGTTGATCCATGCATTGCTGTGATAGTTTATGGCAACTTCATGGTCCTCGTCCTGATGAAGTGTTGGTGCACGCAAGCTCCTAGTGTCTCCTTCTTGCCACTCCTCCTTCCTTGTGATATCGGGCAATGTTTTCGGAGGGGAATTTGGGTGACATGGAACGTCATTGCTACTAGGAGTGTCCAGCTTCAGATTTGTGATGTTAGGATGTAGCACGGCAGGCTTTATTTTGCTGCTCATGGACTTGCTTTGCTCTGGTTGGGATAATACAGATCTTGGGGCGAAAGAGGACCGGAGGCCTTCATGGCCTCGACTTTTGCTGGACTGAAGAGAGAAGGGACATTCTTTCATTCTCTGGTGGATGTCAGTGAATATGTTGACTTTCTTCCTCGCCAGTTCACCTTCAAGCCTTTCCATTTTGCCGCAGGTGTTAGCGTCATTATATTAGAGGGTCATTTCTATAAGTGAGATTATTGAAAGGGCAGGTGCCGATTCGGAGCCTACCGGAGAGCGAGCACTAGTGAGCACCAGCTGCGAACCGGAACTAGTACTCAGCCCTCAGCCCTCAGCCCTCAGCCGATGCGCGCGGAGGCGTGACATAATGATCTCATTAGACTCCGGCTTCTGAATCAATCCCTGACATAGCACTTAGAGACAGCACCATTCTCGTTCGGAGACCTTCATATTTTTACTCGGCAATCACCGAGCGACACCCTCCCCCAACTGGCGAAATTTGTTTGAGCACTGCACTACATCAATCGTTAACTTTTCGTTTACTTTCATAAATCACAATACCATCTCACAGATCGTTAGACATACGCACAAGCATAGCATCTGTTTAATAATACACTCAGAATCCTTGACACATACACTCGCGCTTACCTCATCTAACGATCTGCTCATTCAGCTTCAGCAGAAACGTAGCACATAGTAAGCAAGGCCTTCTCCTTCGATTGAACTTCGCGAGGACGCTTGTATGTACAACACTTGTACTGAAAATCTTGATTGACCAAGTAAGGACTGGTACTACAAGGAATTATTATATAAACTGAATGAAGCTAATTGCTGATGCCACTGATGGGCCTGATAGTTCTCGAAAGTACTGTTTTTGGCGGAGGTCAGATTGCCCCATCCCACGTAATTTAGCTTCTCTGGTCATTCAGCTTCTCTACTCGTTCATCTCGTGTGTGGAAGCGCTCCATAGCACATATATCTGATTCATATGTCCCCCTCATCCTCCCCTTACTCTTCCATCCCCTACCATGAACGATACCCTCTCCGTCTTAACTTCACATTTCATTGGTTAGTATCATATTTCATCTTTTCATGACTTCCTGCTGACTGCTATCAGGAGTCATCATCTCCAGCATGTGAGCTTATTGCAGTCGATCCTGACATTGTTTATCATGATCTTTTTACTAGGTTCTATGGCTTTGCTCTTGCCCAGACCTGGTGGTACTTTCGAACTTATCCAAAAGACAGATGGTCTATGAAGGCCTTGGTAAGCACTGCATATCATGTATATCATCCCCATTTGCAAATCTCCAGCGTCTTTTTCAGGTAGCCTTTTTGTGGTTAAGTTTGTCACTTGAAACTAATTGGTTTGCACTGACTCATATTCCCTAGGACATTAGACACAGCACAGCTCGCCCTTGTTGCCGCATCAATATATCACTATGCCATAGTTTGGCAAGGTGACATCGCAATGTCATCGCATATATCTAAGTATGTCATTTCGCACTTGTCATTCTATTCATATTCATTTTTGACTAGAACATTTGAGGTGGGCTTCTCTTGTTTCATCATATAATGGTGTCGTAACCTCTCATTACTACAGGCATCAATGGGAATTACTGTAGGTTGTCCAACATCCCTTTTAATCATAAGCATTCTCACTCTATCATAGTCAATAATAGCTTTTCTGGTGCAATTGTATGTCTGTTATTTTCCTTTGTGGCGATGAGCACTCATTCCACTTTCCAGAACATATGTTTACCGTATATGGAGACGTGAGGTCTAAACTAACAATCTTGAGAATCTACACTCAAAACTCTCTAGTTAGCTTTGGAAACATTCTAGTCACATTTTTCATAGTAAGTTTAGGAAGTCTGCATTCATATCCTCATTTACTCGTAGCGCTGACGCCGCAGGTCCTTTTGGCATTGGTTGCACTAGGTAAGAACAATCTATCGTGAGCGTGTCATAGTTGATTGATAACTCACAGGATCAGGTGGAGGTACGCTCAGTTTCTACTCTATGTCATCTTACTCAAACTGGTCACAGCAATGGTTGTCAAAACGTGAGTTTTCTTGGTCCAACACCAGACTAATTGACACTGGCATTTCTCCCAGCATCCACGATCCTCTGTGGGATAGCACTCATGTTAGCAACGTAAGCTCACCTTCATATCTCTTGGCCAACTTTCACACCTCACACGACCCTCAGCTGCCCGCTTCTAGTTTTTACTTATCTTCAATGGCATGCGACTTCCTCATTGCCGCTACGCAAGTGTACTTGTTTCATAAGTCCCGGACCGGGAGAGGAAGGTTCGTCCTGTCCATTGTTCTTTTAGTCTTATGGGCTCATTTTTGTCCAGACTTGGTGGTCTCATCAGCAGATTGACTGTGCTGGTTGTCAATGTGGGCTTGATAACTACGTAATCGTGTCCCCATACAGCGCTGTTTCCACCACTGACTCGTCATTTCAGTATAGATGTCACGCTATTTCTCATACTGGTACGGATCTCGACGGGAGAGGTTATCCCACTCACAATCTCTCCCTTTCAGTTTCTCGTCTGCCCCCGCAATGGTGCCTTTCTCGTCCCATACACCCTCATGAGTCACTGCGCCCCTCCGCTTTACCTTCTGTTACATATTTATCCCGCATTGCAGGCTATCTAAATAGTTTCCTCAGCGTGTAAGTCCATATTCCTACCTCAATAACCAAAGCCTCATCCACACAAGTCTCAACTCTCGTCTTGAGCTACGGGAACTGGCCGATAACAACGAGGTAGGCCATCTCGTCCTTCTCTGGTGCTGACCGTACCTGACGCGGCGCCTTCACAGTATGCTTGTCCCAGCATCTACACCATTACTTCAGAGCTGGCATGATATGAACTTCAGTTCCCTCTATAGAGCCCTCTTGTAGGACATAGACATTGCACTGTACATTTATGTTACCGCAACTTCCTCGGCGAACATCGTTCAAACTCTCTGGTCATCCATCAGTGTTAGTGCCCTCTTCAGCAAATACCACTCCAGTCTGCACCATCGTCATTTGTCTCTCCTCTGGCAGTCATCAAGACCGACTGAAAGTAGCTTTACCCGATGGACACAAATTGAGCTGCTGGAGGTTAAGAAGCCGAAACCTGACATCTTGTGCACTCCCCAAGGTGAACGTACACTGAGCCATGTTTAGACAGACTTTGGTTTGTTTTTCAAGAAGGACAGCAGTGTTTATTTGTCTCGGTCGCTCACCATATTCTGCGTCTAGGGTGTAGAGTACAATGAGTGGCCAAAGTCACGCTATGCCAACCCAGAACAAGCTTTCCTAGATACCTTCTGAGTCCCCTCATAGCTCACCTATCCTCATTCACTGTTGTATCCAAGCGCACGCATTTCCACTGAGGCATCCCTAGCTAATACCACAGGATACTACATCTCACAGCAGAAAATTATTCGCAGACAACTCACCTTCATTATCGTGTCCGAGTCATACGCCCAGTAGTACATAAGCTTGACATAAGCTAAAGATCTCTTCGCTCCCGCCTACTATACATTAACTTTAACATTGGGATTGAGGCAAGTTTCTGGCTGCACTAAGAGTCCTACTTGTTGAGTTTGTACCAAATTCAGAAATCTGCCGGGATGCCCCCAGGGAGAATCTGACTGTCTCCAACGGTTCTCTCAGAGTCTCCATATATGTAGGCTCATGACTAGCTTAACTTATATTACCAAGTCGAGAAATTTGGCAGGCGAAGCACAGAGTTTGAATTTTAACAGGTGCCAGTGACGGTGGTGCCGCTTTAGTTAATGGTTGTTTGTGCGCAGCATGAGCGACACAAGGACCTTCATTCACATCGTACAAAGTACTGTATGTTGACTGTATGTCTCTCCAACATCATAGCACATCGAGAAACTGTACTGAATATTGAATAGTGTGATAAAACGATACCATTTAATGCATTCTACCCGCCCATTCCCCAATACCAGCCACGTGAAGTGGCTTTGTTTTGTTGAGAGGGTGCTCGTAAAGTTCACTGGTAGATTGTTGATAGCTTCTAGAGCAGCACAAGACAAGGGTGGGACAGAATTGATCAACAAACTCATGGGAGGTTAACATAGTAGCACACAACTACTCAACTACATGATGAGTATCACCGTGACTGGCACGACGCCGTACCGGCACCTGCTGAAACTTAAACTCCATGCTTCGCCTGCTTGAAATTTCTCCCTAAGATCAATTACATCAAACACCTCAGACATAGTAAAGACTGGTTACGAGTCTAGTCTACTGGCGTATCGTACAATGAGCAATAAAGTCACATGGTTGGTTTTACAAGAATGCAATCGCCATCATCAAGATCGTGGCCATTAGCATAAGTGCTGCGAGCCCTCTTATTTGCATTGCCTAAGGAATTCCCTGGAATGTTGTATCAATGTATGAGCCACAGGTGCATGTGCAACAGCAGTGAAGTACCTGTTGAAACTCTTGGACGCTTGGAGAGGTTGCTTGCACTCACATGCGCAGTTGACTTAAGGGCGGATTGTCTACTTGGAGTTGCAGCGCGCGATGTCTTAGGGATCGACGCAGTTCGAGCTGGCAAACACATCTTAAAGTCACAGCCAATGCCTAATGGTAAAGAGACGTACAACTGTGGTGGATAGATGGGACAGTCGCCTTGATTGCGTGAGTGTCAGTGGATGTGCCTGCTACAGAGCCATCAATATGATCAAGGAAAAGCAGTAATCTGCTTACTAGTGACTACCCCGAGATCTCCAACAGGAATACTAGGGCCTTCTATGCCTGAGCTTTTATGTCTCTGATCAATATCGATATGGGCGCCTTCACATGACACCACAGCAGCTGCAGCATCAGCAGTACACCTGTCCCCTGGCCCGCCGCCTTCTTCGCCCAAGTCAGGCTTCATGCCTGTCACCATTCCGTCGGTGGATCCATCACCTTTACCCCACTCACCCACAGGACCTTCTGTTCCTGGAACTCGTCAGCTGAAGAAGGAATGGTGACTACAGCGCAGGCTTACCAGTACCTGCACTTGCCTTGCCTTCATCCTTAGTCTGCAGGGTCCTGGTTGCATCTAGTGTACTAGTACTATGTGAGGTGGGTGCGGAGTTATCAACGCTCAGATTTGGTGGTTCACCATGAGCATCAGGCCCTGAGCGTGGCTGCTGTGATTTCACCAATTTAGTTGTCAATATCTGAGACTGTGTCTCATGCGCCTGCATCATTACAGGAGCTGTGGAGGCAGGCAGGCGGGCCTGCTCATCCTCTGGTTCATCCTGCAGGAAGTGCGTTAGCTGTCTGCTGTCAAGATAAAGATCAACACACGTGCATAAACTTACAATCGTGTGTTGATCTTCTATGCCTTGTATAGCTGGAATCATAAGATCAACGGTATCCTTGATGTTGTATAAGATACTGTCGTCACCCTCCAGAGCTCGTATGCGCAGACGAGTGCAATTAATCTCCAGTTCCTAATATGCATTTCTCGTCAGTGGTGTGCATTAGCAGCCGCAAATGATAAACGTACATGTATCAAAGTCCGTAGGCCTCGAACAACATTCGCCGCCATCGGACTGTGGGTTGAGGAGGTTGCCTGCGCACCTGCCATATGCTTGACATACAAGATCAAATTGACAATAGCAGCACGATCACGTTCCTCCAACTCATGGTAACGATGAATGTGTGCGTCCTTGACATGTTCATCAACCATGAGTGAGGCTGTCACAGTTGGGGCGACATCTGACGGAATCTCAGCACCGTCATACCATACCCACCTCTTCCGCTTGATGGTCCTTCCATTTTCTCCAGCCATATTGATAGCTTTTGTGTGCTTTGCAATCACATCCTCGAGCGTTTTCTGGAGGCCAGCCACCATTGGATCATGGAAGAGATCCTCTCGTCTGTTGCAGTCTCTGCCAAGGTCAAGCAGTATTGCCTTGATAAATGGCTCCATGTCCCGCTTGCTGTTCTTTGATGTGCGGTTGTTCCAGTCCCAGCTTGTGACATGCAGCGCAAGGATCCCAAGGGTCACCTGCAGCTCAGTCGTGAGGTCCCTCCCCCGCCCCTTCCTCAATGTCATCACACTCTGCAACTTCTTCAGGCCATCCTTGCTGCCAGATCCTAACTTCGCAAATTTTTCATCGACCTCCTTTCGGTCCTTGAAAGGCTTTCTCCACTGACTGCAAGTGATTGCGGTGGTCAGGTTATTCTGGAGGCGCAGCACCATCGTCGTGCGGAGGGCCCATAAGCAGGTAAACACCTGGGAAGGTGAATGTCAGCGCTGTACAGACCATAGCTCCCGTCCATCACACTGACCGCCTCCTCAATTTTCTCAGATTCAACCATCCTCGGGTCGTTGCGGAGGTTTGTGAACATGACCTCTGTCTTGTCATCCATCAGATGGCTATGACGATGAAGGGTGTGATAGTGCAACAGCAGAGGCTCGAACCATCCACTGATCTGTCATAATGAGTAAGGACAAAACAGAAAACGGCTTTCCTGCCATACGGTAATACTTACCTCCTCAAATGCAGCGCTGTTAGATGCTAGCATAGACCATGCGATGTCGAGGACATGCCCGCATAATAGTGGAAAAGGCGCCTCCTGCGCACCATCTTCAGGTGTCAGCCACACTGCGATTCTTGCGGTCACCCTGTCATGAAACTTGGCGATAGTGTTCCATTGCGTTGGTGTAGTTCTTGATAAGTGCCATTGAGAGCGCAGCTTGCGGACCAGGTAGTTGGAGTAGTTGTCCAGGCTTGTGGTGTAGCTGGGCGCCTGGGTCCCAATATCCTTTAAAGGGATGTTTTTGAACTGGTCATCAACTTGGATTGACATGTCATCAAAGACATCATTGAAAATGGCGGTATCTGGGTTAGCCACGCTATCGTATATCATCTGGTGCCACTCCTCCAGTTTGGTGACAGCCTCGTCGCAGCCTGACTCTTCATCGTATGTGGCTGCAATTGTGTCACTCACAGTTGCGTAGTCTGGGAAGGCGTCATTGGATGCAAGCAGGCGTAGGATGTGAGTGTGAAACTGAATAAATTGGATAAACATCTGTAACAATACGTAAGGTCCAGCTGCACATACTAGGCAGACAGGGCTTACCCCCATCACAACATCAATGGATCGAGCTAGCCAGGTGATATGGAACTCTCTGCAACGGCGGAAGTGCGATCCCAATGGCAGGAGATCGATGGCAAGTGTCAACACGAGCTTCTCATAGCTGAGGATTTTGGTCAACCGCGTATTTTTCTGCCTTTCCATATTGTCGCGCTGAAGCTGCAGTTCACCCCACGCAGCTGCAACCCGCTCTTCCTCTGGTGCATTCTTATATGCTGCCTTTATCAATCGCAAGATGCCACTAAACAACTCTTTGGACGTTTCCTTGTACTCGTGCAAGGACTTGTTTCGGGACAAGTGGTTTGCTAGTGTATCGCCGCCTGCCAAGACTGTGTCTGTAGGTATGCATCAATGTATCAGCTCTAGATATATATGCCTCCACTGAAACCGTTCCAGTGGCGGAGTTCCACTGGATCTGTTCCACAGATGAAATTGCTTACCTTCATCATATATGATGACTCCCCACTTTCCCATTAGAATCAATGCACCTCGCAGCTCACCAAGCTCGCTGTGAAGGCGGTTATACTCGGCGATGTGCTCCCCTGATGGATTCTTCATCTCATTTATCTTGTGGCAGCATTTCTCGACAGCAGTGATCTCATCCAGAATGTTCTTTGAGTATTTCTTGAGCGCAGCGACGTGATGTTGACCGGATGCTACCACAATAGTATGCGCATCCTTCAATTGCAGTGGTGGCACCTCCTCCTCGTTGAAGTTGAGTGCAAGTTGCAAACCACTCTTG